TTACCCGTCTATTTTTACTAGAGATGCGATATATATATATATATATATATATATATGCATTAGAGCCCAATCCGTCCCTACTCTCCATGACAGGACTGAAAATCAAGTGAGAGAAGTATTCGGGCCGCACCATATCACGTATATTTTCCCCTTTAGCGAATGGATGAGAGAAGATAGTGATCAACCAAGCTGCCCTACCGTGAAAACGAAGTAGATGAGGCGAGGCCGGATTCTATGAAACCAAGCACACCGACTCAGGTGTGCGGACCCCTTCTTATGCAACCCCCTCCCTGTTTACTGTTGTTGATTCTGCATCGCACGAAGCATCCTTGCCATCGCGTCCGCCTGCACCTCTCGAACTTCCCGCTCATTTGCCTCCATTATTACCGTGCGGAGGATCACATCCCACTTTGCGGAGCAGTTCTGCACACACTGCTTTTCCTCTAAGTCTTTCTGAAGCCGGTATCGAATAGGAGCCTGTGTCGTCCGCCGCAGCGTGTACAACTCCTCCGTATCGAGGCATCGCTCCATGCAGAAGTTGGTGCTATTGAACATTAACGCCGACTGCAGGCGCGCCTCGGTTAGAAATTGATAGGCGCGGGTAATGTTCTCCTCAAAAGAGGTCATAGGGGGAGCTTGAGGCTGCATCTTACCTGATTTTAATTTATCGTTATATGCTTATTTTTATTATCGGTCACTTTATATATCTATTCGCTTCCCCTTTCCCTGTGTGGTTGGTTTCGTTCACAAACAATTAATGGAAAACGTAATAATAAAGATTAAAAGCCGTAGTGAGTGGAAGCAATCTATAATAGACTGTAAGCACATAAAATGCACAAAAGGGGATCCTTCTTTCAATGGCATCTGTAAGACACTCATACGCGCTTTTTATTTGAGGGTTGAAAAGAAATAGGCAATGATAATGCTATCAAAGTCTCCTGGTTTCAGGGGACTTCTAGATGTTGGTGTCACGGTAATCCACAAAGATATCATCGGATAAGAATGATTCTTCGTGACTCTTCTTATTCATCAAGGAGAAGTATGTTATTTCAACATAACACACGGAGGGTAAACTTCACTGTACAAACACACATCATAACCCATATAAAAATACCAAAGGATACCGGTGGTTCATGAATTAAATCATTTTTCTCACCTACTGACGACGCGAGTTTATCGTTCATGGAATGCGCACCCCAGATAGCATAGAGGACACCATGTTTTAAAAAGCTGAATATCACGGCTGGCAGGCAGAACATCTGAGTAAACGCTTTCATTGCCAAACACATCGGTAGCTGTCCAACGTGAGGTCTACCCCACCACTTCCAGCATAACCCCCCGACGGGGCCGTACCGGATAACGTAGCTAATGACTCCCGGAAGTGTGCTGCGCAGATGCTGACTTGTGAGATTTGGAAACCATTTAGAGATGACCTTGCATAGCCACCCATCACTCCTGACTTCAGCGGTTTTTTTTCTATCCTTTTCGGTATCGGTAAGTGGACTCCGCCACGATGATCGCATTATATAGGAGAATAGGGTCGCAGGTTTCAACTGGTGGTCACGGCGTTGGGAACGCTCCTCAGAGAGCTTTTTCCTGAGTATTAGAAGTTTACGCTCCACGCGTGCAAATTCGTGCCACGTATCCGTGGTGTTAAGCCCCGCGGCTTGCTTTTCTAAATTCGATATTTCTTTTTCCATTGCAAGCTCATTAGGGAAAAAAAGCACACCCGCAAGACGGCGTTCCCAGTACATGCTAAAGACGTACGAGAGCACTACAACAATGAACGTTATAATAAGAACGTCATTATTGCTGATTCCATCAGGTTGCATGGGGCTTGAAGATAGTCCGTCCGTCGTATTAAGCTTCATGGGCCTCCTTTCTTCTTTCGGTAATATATAAAGGGTACGATGAATGTCGTTGGGATAAGGCCAAATATTATCTCCTACGCTAGGTGTATGCAAATAAATACCCTTTCCTTGCCTTTTTTCTTTGAAACGATTGAATACAAAAGAATGATTGTGAAGAACTCAGGGATAAAGCGGTGGAAAGCAACAGTACTTGGTGTGTTCTGAAAACTTTGAAACGTCAAAAGGATATTTTTTAGTCGAATTGCACGCCAAAAATCATATACGCGTATATATGTATGTATGTGCAAAAATAATTAGGAAAACCGTGCGCATTTTTTGACATCTGACCTTTATTCTAATTCGAAAAGTGGAGGTGTTGAAAAATTAGAAGCATGATTAGTTTCTATTCTTAGTTGGAAAGAAACCGAAGCGCTAAACAAAATAATTCTATAAAAAGGTTCTTCTAAATGTGTACCCCGATATTCAACATCTACAATACGCACAACGGACTCTTCAATGAAGCGCGAGACAAGGTCCTCTGCGGCTGATCGTTGATGTGCAGTGTAAAATGACTGCTGTGAAATGAGCACACTCCATAAATATGTTAGTTAGGGGCGACATCGGCAAGGGGAACGTTAAAGATGCGAAAGGTCGGGGGTGAGGAGGGAAACCAAATATTAAGAATGCGAAGTCCTTTCCCCCCTTAACGCAAGCTAGACCTCGCACACTACATCATATACGCGATGCCGTTGTCATAAAAGATAAACTGCCGTTGATGAAAGCGCCGCAGTACCGCCTCGACGGCCTCCGCGGCGCCCGCCGCGCGATACCCCATCTGAGCCAACTTCCGCACCACAATCGCCACCGTGACGGGGTCGCAAAGCTGCACCACCGACGCAACCCGCCGTTCGAACTCCGCGGTGGTCCAGTCCTCCGACGGGGGACTGGTAGGGCGAGGGGGAGGGGCCGGTGTGGGACACGCCCCTGCAAAGGCCGAGCTGGGGTACACGATATGGAGGCCGTCCGTGTCACGTGTGACAGCGTGTGTAGGGCCGTGTTCGGGAGCCCTGGTGTGGGAGGAGAAGCCGAAACCCCCTCCTTCGCGTCCATTTGTCGGGTTGGGACAGGACGGGGGGTCGCCCCCGCGGCCGTGTCCGATTGGGACAACGGACACGGAAGGGCTGGCCGTCGTCCCGGTAAGGGGTCTCCCGGGTCGGAGCCCGCTCCCACGTTTGGAAGGGGCCTCGGCGGCCTCGGCCCGTACCCCATTGGAGCCGCCCTTGGTCTTTGTGGAGGCCCCAGAGGGGGGGAGGGGACTGGCCGCCTTCGCGGCAGGGGGTCTCTTTGGGCCAAGCTTGGCTAACATCTCGGCGGTTTGCTGGAAATCCTTCTGCAGGAAGGTATCTTTGCTCACCCGCTTCCCTAGCTTTTCACAATTTGTGTAGTGGAAACTAGCGAGCATGTTGTACAGCGCGTCTTTGCTCTTGGCTGTGGTTTGAATGCCCACCATAATGCAAAGGACGCGCAGTGAATTGGCGGACAAATCAGCAAGGCTACCCCCCACCACACGATCCAACAGGGAGCGCATGTAGCTCCCAATAAATTCGTTCGCCTGCTCGCCGGAAGTGAACGAAGACGCCGGCACTGATGCCAAAGGTACCGACTGCAACGCTCCTGCTTTGTTTTCCACTGTACTAATGTTATCACTTTCTCTAATCGTCTGAGAACCTATATTAGTTTCAGACTCACTGCGAAGACGTTTTTCTCCAAGAAAAGATGGTGACGCCACGTCATTGGATTCTAACGTTGACGGAGCTCCTCGCGATGGTTCCTCTGCTAATGCTATGGTTACTGTTTGGAGTTGGGATTCAACCACAGAGGTAGGCATCGACGTTGTCTGCTCTTCCTTCCCCATCCCAATCGCAACATTATCGGTTGTCTGATTTCCAACTTTCTTGACCTGCTTCGATTTCTTTGACGTCGATTCAACAATGGCATCGCACCAACCTTGCTTTTCCTCAAGGGTTAGGGAGTGCAACTTGCGAAGCGCAAAGCTAAAAATGCCTTTGCGTATCTCATCCTCTTCGTTGCGAACAACCGGATGAAGATCACCAAAAGGGTTCTCTGGGCTCGCCATGAATGCGGGCAGCGTTTTTATAGTTCCGTAATTTCAATCTGAGCAAAACGTAGCCCTCTAGGATGATGCCAGTGTTGTTTTTGTTTGTGAACACAGTAAACGTCAAAAAGGTTTCTTTTTGAGTACAAATAGGTTACTTAATACAATGTCTCTCTTAAGACATAAACAATATCAATAACTTTTCTTAATTTTTAGGATATCATATCGGGATCCCATTAAGGGTTGTAGTGACGATTGATATTTCAAGTATATATATATATATATATATATATTTATTTATTTATGAGAAAGAAACAATAGAGATACGTACGTGTAATTTCAAAGAGTCATTATCATATTCCATCAAATAAGAAAATGATCATATACTGACAGATAGTTCAATCAACCATTGCACTTTTTATTACCATCACCATCATATCTCAGTTTCACACAGAAATGGAAAAAATAATAATCTAAAATAAGAACGTGTATAAGTGAAAAAGGCACCAAGGACTTCATGGCACCTTTTTCTTCTATATCAGCTATATATTCACACGATAACTCTCAATCACATTTTCATGTACTTTTGCATGTCGAATCGGGGTCTGCTACGTGCTGCTTGCTTTTTCCCAATTTATTGTGTTGGACCACCTCCTCTGGATTGAACAAAGCCCTGAAAACATCCTTTATGGAAGACATTGCCCCTCCTTCTTCACGGATTTCGTTCTCAAACTTCAGGGTCACCTTCTTGGCTTCAATCAATTTTCGACGCAGACTTGTCTTTGATCCCTCCGACTCGCTATTTTGGTCATCTGATTTTAAAAACGGGTCCATTTCTTTTCTAAAGCGATTATAGTAATGTTCCATAAACAAGCCCATGCGCGTCCTCACAGAGGAACCCAACGCGATAAAGCTGGTCACCGCAAGCACCACCACGACGAAGATCAAGACGCTTATGCGATGAAACTTTTCGTTGAGATCGGCCAAGACGTCGATGCCACTATCATGCGGGGGGAACGGACAGGATTCCCCACTCGCCGTCGTCGGAACCGGAACGCGCAGGAAGGCGCAGAGCGGACCCCAGCCCTCTCCTTCGCGGTAGATCAGTAAACGATCCCGCGGGACGACGTCTTTCACGCGCGCCTCAAAAAGATCCAGCGCCGAGGCCAACCGCAACGCGGGGGTGTGTAACAGAGGGCTCGTCGTGCTCGTTGACAAGCCGCGCGTGACCCTTGCGGAGGTGGCCTTGCGCAGATCAGTCATGCACACCAACATGCTGTGAAGATCCCCAAGTCCGATTCGCCGCTGAAGACGCTGGGTTTTATCCAGGATCGGTTGCAGCATCGCGTCGTATTCCTTCTCCCAGAATAATTTATCCGGCTCCTCGACCAAAACGACCTTGGTCGAGCGCGGGCACTCCTGCAGAATGGATTCGTACGCCAACGTCGCTGGCGGGCCGACAATGGCGTCGTACGACGCGACCTCCTGCGGTGGCGAGGAGGCCTCACCGTCTTTTTGGATCCGCGTTGAATCCTTGGGACTTTTGGCAGTTTGAGGGACCTCTAAGATCGCGGTGTCGAACTTTTTCTGCTGATTTAACACCATACACCACTCCTTTGGGTGGGTCTGCAGGTTGCCTTTGCGGAAGGTCGTCTCGAAGATGTACGGCGTGTAACCGAGCATCCGAACAGCCTCCCCCATAGCACCTCCATTGGGCGTCATGGTGAGTACTAGAACGCGTGGAGGGGGTGGGACATGCTTGATTAGAGTGCGTCTAAGTAGTGACATGCTCGGTTAAACTAGCATGAATTTTTTCTACCCCCTTTAACTACCCTGCGCTTAGTCTTCCTTTGAGTAAATAGTATTGGAAGAGGGGAGAGATATCGAGCACCTAAAGTTTCCAAATATTTTGTTATCCCTGTTTTATTACTGTTCTGAATTTACGGATTTTCATGCGCGATTATAATAACACACAGACACATCCCGCCCTCAGCTACTCCCTCAAAAAAGGAAGCCTCAGGTCCGACACAGCGCTTATTCACAAAGAGCGCGCCAGGAAGCCACTAAATCGTGCGAGGGAAGCCCTGGAATGGGAATGGCAAGGGCCATCAACCCCCCGCCTATCGTGGCGGATTGGGGTTGCCCACCAAAGACTTCCTTCATCTCCTTCAACGTACCGTCGACGACAACCGCGCGAAATTCAACTTCGGTTTTTCGAACCTCAGAGGGGGACCCCGTCTCGCACACGGCGGCCTCCTGTGAGGCTGCGATCCGTTCAGGGTCGTCATACCAAAAAGGCCGCCGCCTCACACGACATCGAAGACGAATCCCATCCCCCTTGTAAGAGGAAGAAGCCGGTGATAACGCATCTCCATCTCCCGCATCGCCGTTGCCGGAGTGAATGTTATCCTCGCCCCTCTCCTCCTCTTGATGCAGGTGAGGTGGGATTCGGCGGTAGTCGCCTAAAATGCGCGTGAGGGAGGCTGATTGATACCCCATCGGCAACTTATTCAGCGTCGCCGCCAACGCAGACTCCAATGAGGGGGGCAACCAACGCGCAAGGCTAACGGCATCCTCCGCTTCTCCTTCAGGAGTGGATGAGAAAGATCCCCATAGCGGATCGGGAGGCCCTGGTGAGGGCGGCAATGACGAGAAGGTTCCATCCCGCAGTCGCCTTTGCCCTTCCAACTCAATCGAAGAAAGCAAAGGCGGGACTACTGGGATGAAGAGAGCCCTCTGCGCGGTAGGAATGGTGGCTTTCGTATCATCTTCACCATCGGATTCGCCACACGACGAAAATAGCGTGCTCCTCGACCTTGCCTCCTTCTCCCAGAGAGAAACTTGATGCGAATGAAGCGTAGGCATCGACCACACCGTGGTAGGGTCGTTCAAAAGCACCTGCAGTCGACTCAAGCAGCGCCAGTAGCCCTCTCCGTAAAAGTTTGTGAGAGAGCCCTTCCCATCCTCACAAGACCCACGCGTTTCAAGTTTCATTTTGCGATGGTTCCGCTCGGTTGATCGTCGACTATTCTGAAGCTCCCATTCCATTTGCATCAATAATGACTCAAAGTCATTCTTTTTGTTAGACTCTTCAAGCATGTTTTGTAGCCCCAGCAGCTCCGCTTCCCTAGAGGATTCGCTCTCACGACAGCTTGGCTTCTCATCCCATTTATAGGTTTCCTTCACCAAACTTCCAACCTGGGCAAAGACGTTGGTGAGATGACTGTTGGATTGCAGGGAGCCGGTGACCTCCCCCATTTTCGGCCGCTCCGATTGAATGGAGTCGAGGATCAACGACTTGATCGAATCCGGTGGGCACCCTAGGAGCAGCACGTCGTCCTCGCCTGCATTGCTGCCCGACTCCCGCAGGGCTGATTCGCTAGCGCTCGGCGATGCTCGATCACGATTCGCAGCCTCCTGCCGTCGCCCCTGTTGAGCTTCTAAGAAGGCCTTTTCAACGAGGTGAAGGTCCGTCGTACCGGATCTACTGGAGGAGGATTCCGCGCAAGGAGTCAACTGCGGAATGCGACTCATCGTTGCCATGGCGGCGGTAGAATCACCCTGCCGGGAGTTGGGGTTCACGGAAAAAGGCTTCCCCCCCTCATCCGTCATTTCCTTCTCAAGACGAGGCTTCTGAAGATCTGGAGATAAGAAATCATCCGGCCCCTCGCGCTCCGCGCACGCCCACGCCAGGCCCGGCAACGGGGCGATGGGATCCACCACCAATCCCGTCTCCACATCTCGCCAAAATCCCTCTCGTACCATCCAGGGAAATAACACGTGCAACGGCATTAACGTATGCTGCCCGAGTTGATGGCGGAGGACCCTTCCACATCGTTTATCTCGCAAGAGAACATCCCACGGCGTGCAGAGGGTGGGTAGCCGACACCAGAAGCCCTCCCATGGTTCTCGATCCTGTTGCGGGGCTTCGTAAGGTCGGGGCTCGTGGAGAATAGACGCCGGAGGGAGCTCCAGCGCCACGCTCACCACTCCACGATTCTGGAAGGACACCAAGAGCGTGAAAAGCGCCTCGCAAAACTTTTGACTCACCAAAATCCGCGTCGGAATCACCAATACGAGAGGTAAGCGTGCCGCAAATCGAGAAAGAATGGCCTCGAGACCTATGCGCGCGTGCTTAAAAGTGCTTTCTAGGCTAACGCCAGACCCCCATGGGTTATCGGCCTGGGCAAACGCATCCAAGGAGAGGTGGTGTGCAGGGGGGGCTTGTTTAATTCGTCTTGGGTGGACTGGATTCGTTTGAAGATGCATATCGGCTGCCTCTGCCGGGCACCTTGAATTCACAAGGACTGGTCGTGTGAGATGGGCTACCGAGGCATCTGGGAAGAGGCGGAGAGACATAAACAATGGCGACGTCGCCGCTGTTCCGGCCGCAATGCACGACAGCTCTGGATTCCCTTTGGATGGATGCATCGGTGCTGTCGACGTCATGCAATTCAGGTACGTTTCAATCTGCTCGCAGAGAAGGTCCGTGCGGGAGGACCACGTGTAAAAGGGTGGAAGCTGAAGCTGAAGGCCCGCCCCAGCCAAAGACCCTGGCGTGGAGGATGCCAAGTCCTCCAAAGGATGCCGACACGCACGTAAGAGGCTGTGCAGCGAAACCGTGGACTGATGACTCGCGTAGCCTCGCTCATGGCCTAAGAAAATGGGTGAGAAGCTGATCGGAATAATCCGACTACTGGGTAAGTGGTGTGTGAGAGGAGCGCACGTGGTAAAGGGGTTCAGGACATAGCGCCTCATTATGTCTTTGTGGGAGAAAGAAAAAGGAAACCGAATAAAGAAGAGTTACTTGGGTGGGGTGAGATACCACATCAAAGAAAGGCACCAACGTGTACTTCCGACAAATCTTTGTTTCTAGATTGAAAGGTTAGCTGTGTGTCATACTGAATAAAAGCCAACCGATGAATGCCACAGATGACTCCCTTTTGTTCTTACCTTTTCTGAGCAAGGACAAAATTGCAGGCACCCACATCGCAGAACCACTTCTAGTACGCGACGCACCTAAACCTTTAGCAAAAGGCATGTTTGAGTGCAGCAAATAGTTGGTACCGCATAATTTGGACGATTTAGTTCCCACTCGTTTAAAAATTTTTTCCATCGCGTGGGGAGTGACCACGAATGAGTGTCGGCCCGTCGTTCGATCTGGACGCAGGGATCTGCGATTTGAGCAGCTTAGCAAACTCATGCCGTGTCTTTAACGCGTCCAGCCGCCTCCGCGCCGGGGAAGATATCCCCGCCTTTTTCCCTTCCTTCGGAGATACCAACCCTGCTGGCGCGTCCGCAGAAGAGGGCTCTTCCTCGTGGATACGAAACGTCCTCGGCGTTTGCCCGATGAGGAGTTTGGCCTCCATCTCACGCCGTAGGGCATGCCCATCCACAATAACCGTCTTCACCCCCATATCGAGGCCGTCATTCGCACGCGGAAGGAACACACCAGGGGTGGCTTCGATACCACGGTGGCTCGCTTCCTGCGATGACAACCCCATCGACGACATGACTTCCCTCGCGTGAAGCTGATCGCGAAGTTTTTGAAGCCACGGATCCATCGATGTCGAGGTGCCATTTGGATACGCACCGGTTTCCTCCACCCCCGTCTGCGTCGCGGCTGCGCCGTCCGTTAACTGTTTCTGGGCGTATTCCGTCAGGGCGATGGATTCGCGGAGCAATTGGTTGTGCGACGTTTCCACCGTCGCAAAGAGGACCTCGATCCGGTAATCCTTCGATACTCGCATGGCGTACTCGAAGGTGTGAAACGGCTCGTGGGTTCGCTTGTAACCCACCCCGTACTCCCCCAGACAGGGCTCCGTCACCACGAAAAGCGAACGCGGGTTGACGTGCAGCCGAGGGTACCACGGGCAGTCGTGATGCTGCAGGTGCACGACGGTGGTGGAGATGAGGTTAAGGAGACCGAAGTAGGCCCCAATGCTTGCCGGTTTGCGATGAACTGGGTAGCCCGAAAAGTTCCCAATCATCTCGCTGATCTGGCAAACATTCGGCGGGGAAGGGATGAGGCCGAGGAAGAAGAATCGATAAAGCACCCGCTGCAGCGTCGGGGCGCGGGAAAACGCAAAGGCGAGGGTGTCCTTCCCGGGAAGACCGAGATCGCCGGGCTCGTAGAGGTTCACGCAGTAGCGGGATTCCTCGGCGATATAGGCTGCCTTTGGATGCTGAAGCAACTGCAGCAGCTCATCGCAGATCGCGGCCTCCTCGGCCCTCGAGATGATGCCTTGGTAGCCCATCAAACCGTTGACGTACATCTTTCGCAGCCCGTAGACACTCCGTGGGTGGCCGATACTTTCCAACATCGGCTCCAACAGCTCACCTTCGATCTGGTGGGAGTAACCCCCCTCATCGTGATGGCGGCGGCGACGATCGGCATCCAGGACCTCAGGGGGCGCCTCCTCGGCGGAGGCTGTGGTGGTGTCGTTCGCGCTTTGAAGGGGCCCCGTGGGCGTCGTGGAGGCCGCTCGCAGACGGGCCACGCGCCAGGAGTTGGTGCGCTGCCGCGATTCCAACTCCTCCCGCGCGTAGACGCTGTTAAAAAGGGCGGAGTCCTTTGGGATGGTCGTCCACCCACTACGGCCGTGATACTCGGCTTCCGGGAGCCCATTAAGGTCGATGTCGGCCTCCCCGCCTTCCGTGAACTCGACGACGGAGACCGCCTGGGATTCCAAGGCCTCTTGCATCATTTTACGCCGCATCTCCCGCGTGGGCTTCACGGGCTCCACCCCGTGCTCGTCAATCCCGTCGTAGAAGGCGTACTTCCGTGGGAACGGCGTGAGCAGGGAGGCGGTGGTGCCGTCTCGACACGCCTCGAACTCTTTGGTGGATTGCTGCTGCTCTTGAAAGGCGCGATAGCGGGCACGCTGGGAAGACGACGAACCCGTTTTCGAGCCCTGCGAGGAAGAAGATAAATTTTGTGGAATGGGTTCCCCAGGTTTGAGTTCGCGCGTCAACCCCCCTCCATGGCCCCGAACACGCGCCGCGGAGGGGGTAAACCTTGAGTCGCCTCCTCCATTGGCGCTATTCGAGATGCCGCTATGCTGTGCATTTTTGGTGAAAGAGGAGTTTGTCGACGCAGGGGTACGATTTGTGTTGGTAAATTGACGCTTTCTCCTCGAAACGGACGAACTCGAAGAGGGCAAATCACGCGCGATGGTACCTTTCACTTGTTGTGGATACTGTATCTTGAGCAGAAGTCGCCAAGTTCGACACCACATCGGTGGCACCTTTTGGATGCTATTCAAGTAACTAGAGCCACAACACCTCAAAATGAATTCAACAAGCAAAGAGAGAAAGTTGGTTGAGCCTTTTCCTTAAAATATCTCTCCGACTTACTTCGCATCATTGTACATATAAGTATTTTCATAAAATTTTACACCGCAATAATAACCGAATGAGCTGAATAATCAAGATGATAATTTAAAACGATGATAAAATGAACCACAATATCTCTTGTGTATAAATGGAGATTAAAAAAATTAATGAGAAATATATCACAGATATAATATACCGCTTTCACAGTCACTACACAAATTCGCCCCGTGTTCATAGACGCATATTTGAACTGTAAAGCTTACCCAAGGTTCTGCCATCTTTTTCAAATAGTGAAAAGGTAAACCGTCCTTACCCGAGGTGTCTCCGAAGTTCTTGAGGCCCGTGACTTGCGCCCTAGAATGCGTCGAAGTGCCCAGCCGATAGATGCTCCGACTATAAATCCCCCAAGGTGTGCAGCATGTCCTACGGTCTGTCTCGGCATCAGACTCTTCCACATATCCACGTGTTTTTCCCACCCCGAAGCGAATGCATGGCTGACCGCATTCTGTAGCAGCAGCAGCGCGTCGGGTAAAACCAGAAAAATCATACAAAGAGGATTATGAAAAAACACGGCGTTGAAGCCTGCTAAACCGCATACCGCGGCACTGGCACCGCACATGACCATGGAACGATTCACTATTTTCTGAATTCCGGCGGTGCCGCTGTAAAAACAGCCTCGACAAAAAGTTCCGACGCGTTCCAGGGAAGCGGAAATCGTGCGTGATACCACCTCATCGCCGCTTCCGAAAGCCCCTGATGCGTGGCTGCAAAATCCGATCGACCTCATCGTACGAGCAAAGAGATGATAAATCAACGTGATCTTGTCTTTTATCATTCCAGCTGCCTTTTCACACACGCGCCCGGATTGGAGCTTGTTATAGCACATTTGCCCACCTATTCCACCTACAGGACCGGCGACTAACATCACCAAAGATGAGCCGATGGCGCTTTTAAAGCTGATCCACAGACTCTCTTCCTGGATAGCTTCAGTGACATTCTCATCCCCAAACTCAAGCAAGGCATAGGAAAGCGCCAATGAATTCGCAAAAAAGTGCTCGTTTGTGAAGTGTACGAAGATATGCGTCCAAAGACATTGCCATTTCTTTGAAAAATTATGCGTCGAGAAGCCATACTCTAAAGCACGCTGCAAACATTCATCGTTTGTGGGCCAATGGCCACCACTGCAGTGCACAGCAACAAGAACACCGAGCGGTGCAAAGCGTATCCATAGACAAAGAGGCCTAATCTTGACTACCCTGTACTCTTTCATCCCTTGTGAAGCTATCTAAGAGTAAAACAAGACAAAAACCTCAAAAGGATATATTCTTTCCTTATTTTTTCTAAGCGATAAGGAACTTTATTCTGCTTCAGTGTGATGGCAACGCTTTGCTTCTTGACGAAAATACCATCAGCGAAGATTTTCATCATATTTCCAATAGGCAGAAGATAAAGAAGGAACATATCCAAAGAGTTATGTACGTTGGTGTAATGTATTTGGATGAATGTATGAATATATATTATATACGTACGAAAAGGTTTCGTTCAAAGAACCTTCCTCCCCCCACCGAAAAAAAGGATAAGGACAAAGATGGAAACACCCAAAGTTGATCAATAATATGTTGATAAACTCCAAACTCACACGCTTCATTAGTATATGATGTTCCCTTCGTTGCCGCTTTTTTCTTTACTTTCCCGATCGCTCAAAACGGATGAATGGCAGTAATAAACGTTTTTTTCAGACTCATGCAGATGGGTTGGCCCCTGGAGCGGGTGTTGGCAGCGGTGGCTTTGCATTAATCGATAAGGCGTGAATCGCACCCGAGTGAAGCTCATCCTTGAACAGGTTGTTTACCATGCGATGACGTTCAACCAATGGAACATTTTGAAACGCTTCGGAAACGATACGGACACTGTACTTCGCCTCGTCCGCACTGACCACAGTGACCTCAAGCTCCTTTGGGTGGAGTTCATCTAGAATTTTTTGCTTGATAAAATTTTCCATTTATGGGCGTTTTTTGCTTCTTACACCGTAACTCCAAGGGAGGTTTAAAATAGCTAGTATTAGGTATGGCGAATAATGTAAAGTCTCACAAATGTTTTCTAAGAAATACTGGAAAAAAGATAGGCCAACAAAAGAAGCAATACAAACAATATAGCGACGCTTCATATCATACACTACCTGCCTTTTGGGATGCACCTCCCTGAACAGCACTTTTTTTCTTAATAAAGAGTCCAGGTTTCTGTTGAACCGATTTAAGCATTTGGTGATGACATGAGTGAGGTGAAAAGATTTGTGAATTCATCGTCATCCTCAGCGAGAAGCAACTTACCATTGGAGGAGTGATCTATCTCATGGAGGGAAGATGGGTGCCGCATGTTTTGGCTGCCCGCTACGTCCCTGTCATAACCTCGGTGTTTTCTTCCCTCGGCAGGCTTTGCACGCTCGGGTGCGGAAGGGCTTGAGGGGCGACACGCGAAAGCGCGCCGCAGCTGCATCTTCTGCCGCGGAGACAAGGAATACCGCCAAGCATACCGCCAACTCCGCCCATGCAGAGCGGAACTCCCTATCGAGGAGCCGCGTCCGTTCACTACCGACGCCAGCTGCTGGGAAGGAAAGATCACCGGTGGCCCTCGCCCCCACGCCGCCTCAACCCGGGAACCCGCCGCCCTCGACTCGTCTCCCACGAGAAACTCCGCGACGTAGAAATTCTTCGAATGCGGCATTCCAACCGCGGTGGGTGACTTTCCAGACGAATCGGATGTCCCACAAGCCTCCCTTCGCCGTCCCGATTGTCCCCTTGACACGGCCCTCGTCTCGAGGGACAACAGCGTCATACTTCCAATGAGGTGTAATAGGGAACTTTCAGGGATGGGGTCACCCCACACCTCGTTGTCACAACCCCCTGTTTCCCCTAGGACGTCTCCAAAGACTTTTTCCAACACGGCCTCGTGCACTGCATGCCACTTTCTGGTGTCAAACCGATCCCCTTTGTCTGAGATTGGGCCCGGACCCCCCGTGGACAAGGGGGAAGCCTCGATTGGGTCTAATTGACGTTGACGCCAGCTACGCACCGCGTGGGCGTTAAGCCCCGCATGGTATAACAGCACACAGAGGGAGATTTCCACCCGTGGCATCAGCATCGCGCGCGGGGCGCCTCCGTTCTCGACACCGTTTGACTTTCCACGCCTGATCTTCTCGAGAGCTTTGCCGTGTGTGGTTGAGATGACAAAGCGTGTTTCATCATCCCCCGCCCCATCGGGCCAGTGGTCGTGGTGGAGCAAGGATGTCCACCAACAGTGCAATATCGCACTCATTAACCACACGTCTGGGCACGTATTCAGCAGGAGTAACATAATCTTCTCCATGATGGCGGGATCATGAAGAGTCTTTGCAACAGTGGTGGGTGATGTTGAGGACAGACCTCTGTTCTCGTCCTCAAGGGGTGAAAATCGAAAGGCTCGTGATGGTACTGGGTTGAAGATGCGAAGAAGCGCAGTGTAACTTAGTGAGAATGTGGTCACCCAATGGGATATTACCCCATCCGCACGGAAATCTGAAAACAATGGAAGAAGTTGCGAGGAGTCTGCGGTCGTCGGCCATCGTACAGAGGGAACTGGTAGATGCAAAACCCAGCCAATCAGTTCCAAGAACGAGAAGAAAAGGTGAAAACCTGCAGGTGAATTCTGCTTGAGTACCATACGTAGGGCCTTTGTGGACTGGAAAATTTCATGCCGGTCACCAGAGGAGGAGTCGGTCGTATGGCAACTGTGGTTTCCATCCTCTATGCTGTTGTGGCTCTGATTTGTCGAAACGCCTTCAGATGTTTCAGGCGTATCATCGAATTTCCACTCATTATTACCTTCAGCTTCCCGTGCAATGCTGTCCGCTTCCATCGCACTTGAATCGGTATTCGATGTTGCGTGCGCATGGCTGTATTGACTTTCCTGTGAAACGGAGGTTTTCTTCGCAATGGTTTGTCCAACCTCATCCTCGGATGGGACGTCCGAGCCCACTTCATTGGCGGTCTGCGCCATGTTTTCATCCCACAGCGAGGCGGAGGCTGCATCAAGCTCCTCCAACCACACCGCCTCACCGCTGTCGTACGGGTTTGCTTCCTCCCCCTCATCCCCTTGGCTCGTGGCATGCGGTGAGTCGCCACCGAGATCGTCCTCCGCGAGAGCAGATGGGTAATTCTCACCGACCTGCTCATCAACGGCGTGGGGGGCCTTTCCCGCGCCGTCGTGCAGTGAGGACGACAAAAGCGTCGTAATAAAGTGGTCGATTAAATCATGCCCGGAGTCGATCGGCCGCGACGCGTATTGAGGGGCCTCCCCGACTTGCCAGGTGGCCGTATCCTCAACGAGACGCCACAGTGTGGGGTTGTTCAGCGTTGGCAGTATACTCACTGCACATCGGGTGCCCTCTGGGATGTGGAAGGCGAGGGTATCGAGGAAGGAAAGGACGTGTTTCAGCGTTTTCGCCACCCGTTCGCTCGATGGGGTTGGATTCGACCGAGTGAGGTCCAATAGCGGACCTTCCATCGCCGATTCACCCGATGGACACAGTCGGAGCCTTTTCACCCACACCTGAAGCACTCGCCAGCCCAGCGAATTCGTTCCAAAGCTCGCCAAGGGCCCTTGAGGGGTCTCACGCCGCCACGTGGCAGCCCCTCCCTCCTCTTCTTCGTCATCCCCGTTATCGTGGGGATCCTCCTCTCCCCACTTCTCGGGCGCGTCGGCCGGCCAGGTACTCCACAACAACGCCTGCAACAGCCGATCCCACGACACCGCCTGGGCGTTCACGGGGGTCTCCAACAACGCACGCGCCCCGCACGCCCCGCTATGCACCGATCCGAGCATTCCCAGCCGTCGAACGAACCTCGCGAGGATCGGCGCGCACGCCCCCACCACCTCCCTTTCCAGCATTTCCCACCAGAGCGGGGTGCGAGGGGCGGCGGCGCCGGGTTGCCCCCACCTCACCAGCACCTGAAGGAGCTTCAGGAGGACGTAAAACGACGGATACGCGGCCCCTCGCGCAACCCCGGCGAGCTCCTCTTCGGCCGTGAATCCCGCCGAAGGGAGAAGGGGGGGGGCACCCCCCCCACGGAAAGGGGCGGGCCGCAACACCGGGAGCGCGGCGTGGCGTCGAAAGACGTCGAGAGCGGCCGCCACGGCCTCCCGTAAGGCCTCCACCGCGCCGCTTTCCTCGAAAATATCCTGGGCGGCGTGGGAAACCCAATGAACGCGATTGGAGGCGAAGGATGGAGGGGGGCCTGAGAAACTCCCCCGCCGAATGGGGCGCCCCCCCCCCTCCTCCCGCCTCCTCCCCTGCGGTGGCTATCCCGGCGAGGAGAAACTCCATCCGCCGCTGACGTTCCTCACGCGGTTGGTAACCACTCCCGGAGGTTTTCCAATACTCCATGGCCTCCTCCGCGGCTGGATTTCTCGCGCGGTGGTGAAAATCCCTTGTTGAAACCTCCCAACCTCCCCCAAAGCCCGCCACCCTTCGCCACGCTATCAGGGCCTCCTCTTTCCCAAAGAACGAAACCGGCAACGGCCCGCAGGGCAGGTGGGTGCTCATCCCTTCCAACGTCATGAGCACCCAAAGCGTCGCCACGGTGCTGCCGCCGTGGAAGACGTGAGGGAATTTCCCGAGCAGCGCGTCATGAAGACGACGCCAAACCCCACACGCGGTGATCGGTCGTCTTGTCGGGGCGGGATGGAACACCCCGGAGGCGTGAAAGCCGTCGAAAACCGTGGAAAAGATCACTCGCGCCCAATCCTCGACGCGCGTTCGCGCCTGCAACATCTCCAGCGAGTTTGCATCCGTAGACAGCCTGGAGGAGACGAGGCTCCACGCCCATGCAAGATATCGCTCACGCAGAATATCCAAGAGGGTGGCCTCGAGAAGGGGGGTTGGTTCAACCACCTTCTGTTCGTGCTCATCCGGCACCCTCGGATGGGGATCCTCGTAATTTGAAGGGTCGTTGCGGATGGTGCTGACGGCACGTATGGCATGGGCTCTTCGCGACGCCACCACGTAGCCTTCAAGTAGCCCGATCGCGGCGAGGGTGCATGCGAGGACGATCCACTCTTCGCAGCGCTCCGTGTAAGGGTCATACCCAATCTCTTCGGAAGAAAACTCAACAGAGGAGGCGAGATTTCCACGTTGCGGCTGGAGCAGCGACGGAAGGCGTTGGGAGGGGCAAAGAACCGGGAGCACCCATTCGCGCATGAGCTCCTGGAATATCTCGGCGCCCCGATCATACCTCGGCGGCGGCCATGCAGGCCGTTCACGGTGGTTTCTCTCGACGCCAGGTTCGGAACGTTTCCCCGGTTTCGCCGAGAATGTCATATCCGACAAGCGCGCCGCGGCTTTCAGGACTTGCGGCAGCAACGCGCAGGTGACGTAGTACTTTTTGTACGGCAGCTGAGCCCCTAGGTGGGTTGCGAGGGCCTCGAGGTATCCTTTCGGATACATCAACGTCGTGGTGAGAAACCCCCCGCAGAGGTGGGCGGTTCGCAACTCCGAATCCGACATCCCCGCGACGTGCGAGTGGAGCTGAAGGGCGATCGCACGCAGCCCCACCAAGCGATTCGCCCCTTTCTCGACCAAAAGACCCCCTTTCCAGGTAGGGTACGTCGTCGGGAGGAGGCGTTGCGCCTGCTCGACCACAATCGAATCGGGGTTTGCCCACCCCCACAACATGAAAAGCTCCAGCGCGAGGCGGCCGTAGCCCCGCCCGAGCAACCACGCCCACGCCACGTGAAAGGAAAAGGCGGATGACAACCACACCGCGGCGAGGCCGCGCTCGAGGGCCTCGCGCAACGCACGCGGCAACGCATCGTACGTGCAGAGTGGATAAACGTGGGCGTAGAAAGCCCTCCCCTTTCCGTCCGACCGCACTCGATGGGAGGAAGGGGAAGAGGCGGCCTCCACCGGGCGGGAGTTCCCCTCCCCACCCTCCAAAGGGCGGAGGTAAAGGCGAAGAAAGGCCTGCTCGAGGACGCTGCGGATGAAGGCCGGATGAAGACGCGCAGCGACATCGCCGTCGGAAGGTTGGGAGGCCCCCCTCGCATCCACGCGAGTTGAGGATCGCTGGGCGCGCGAAATCGCCTCCTGCGCGGCAGCCTCGCGTAGTAACGGGGGAAGTGCCTTCACCGCGTCCAATGGCGTGCGAAAAGGACGCGTGCGGAGGCCAGATCCTCCGCCTTTCTCTTCATGGACTTCCTCAGGGATTTCAAATACCCCGTCCGCGCGGGGTCGAATGATAAAAAGAGATGCCACCGAGGCATTAGGGAAATAATGAAGCGCGGAGTTCGCTACCGGGGCCTCGGGAAAGCCGTCAACGGAATGCGATCCTTTTTTTGCAGGGGAAAACAACCGGGAATAAAAGGAGCCGACGTTCGGAGGCTCGGAGTCGAGGCTGTGGGCGCGAGTGGCGTCTAAGAAAATCTCCATAAATCGCGATGAAGGGATCTCCTCAGTGGGTGTGCGACCAGTGTCGTTGTGCGTAGGAGATGCAGACGAGCCGGGATGATACAGTCTCATCTGCTGAAGCAAGGGGAATGGTCGATAAGTAAAGGAATCACACCATGCTACCATACTTCCGATGGTGCATAACGCACACGAAAATAATTTCGGCAAACCCTCGGCAGAAACTCTTCGCATCACTTTCACTTCTTGGAAGAATCCCTTCAACAACGCTGCGTTTTTCACGCTGACTTGATTAGTGCTCTCGGTTCAGTCGATGAGTCTCTTTCTGTGTCGATTGAAATAACACAAAAAATGAACCACTAACCATATCGCTTTCCTTGCTTATATTTAAAAAGCTACCTATGAGTACTTTATACGAAGTGAGTCTGTGCTTCGTACGGCGAAATAATAATCGTGTCGAGATGAACAACAAGACAAGGAAGTGAAAGGGAAAAGAAAAGATAATGAAACAAGAACTACGTATCATCAGTCACCACTAATGTCATCCCGAAAAGTAAGAACGTAACCCTTCGCATAATAATTACTTTTCCAAAGTTTGAAAATATAAATCTATTAACCCATGTGTTTTGAATAGTATTCAGCACAGAAGGGAAAATGTAATCGAATATAGAGACCAACAAGCGATTTTATAATAGGAGATCCCATTTAACGCAGCAAATCAAAAATAGGGGCTAATTTAATTCACAAAAAAAAACATGAAACATTCGTTCGTCATTAAGTGAGCATATAAATATCCAAAAGAGATGCCTTTAATACTCAGCATTTTTTCACCTTTTTATCCTTCTATCAAGACTGTAAAAAACAAAAGATTGATAAAAAAAATAGTATACATCAAATATAGATATCAAAAATATGAGCACACAATATTATGCGTATGTACATATATTTTGTACTACTTAATCTCTCATGTCTCTTTAAAAGTATATCAATGCACTCATAAGAAAGAGTTTTATAAAAACCTTTTCTGCGTAACATCAAAGGGAGAGAGACCAAGCTCAAAGTAAGACTAATTATCACAACCGACAAATTTTGAGGACAAAAAGACGACACAAATCAAGCGGTAAACATATCATCCATGCACAAGATACGTTCTCCACTTTCTTGGGGTAAGCTATTGCAACACTCTCACAATATGAATTTCAAGCATCCAAATTGTGGAAAATGTATATTCAGATCAAATGTCTTGAAAGTAGCAAAATTATTACACGTGTAGGCGACGAGCTAAGAATTTTGTGTGAAGCAGAAACTCAAATAATCAGCAACAACAATTTGTAAAGCGATATATCCTACTCGAAAAATGGCAAGAAAAGAAAAGATTACGTCTACAATGTATGAACTGTTTGCGTGAAATAGTTTGTATAATTTTTCGATAACTCTGGACGAATGCATCACTGATGTTTTTGTCATTTTGCACACCCTTAATTTAATTGAGGATGTGTTCATCCACAATGTACTATGGCTTTCCCTGATATCTTGTTTTTGAACAAAACGGCATTACCATTTAAATGAGAAACAAACAATCAAATCACACCCTCTAGGATGCCAACGAAGAGATCGATTTTTTTTTGCACTGCACATTTAGGAGAGTCGAGGCCGCAACTCGACTTCCAGAAAGTGTAGTAATAACTGAAATATTATGGAGTATTGTTCTCTGCCTGGCTGTTATTTAGTCTTTATCCAACGTAGCATCCCCAGATAGCATGGGAAACATGGGTGGATGAACAGCCTAAAAAGAGAAAAACAGACACCATTATTTGCTATATGGGTTTGGGTCCACTTGAAATAAGCAAGAGAGACTATGTTTTAATAAAACTGACGCTCACAGCTGGGGTAATCTAAAGCCGTGGTCTCACAGTATTGCAACCGGCGCCGGACACAAGCTGACTCGGCAGCTGAGCTTTAATTGAATTGTGAAAAATATGGCTCGTGGTGCTTCCACTGTTGGTGCAACTATTAAATGGCCTGCGGGCACTGATGGCCTTTTCCTGTGGCTTAGCCCCGACCGCCTCACCATAAAGCGAGGCCACCCTGGAGACAACGGATAGGCGGACGTAATTGGTGCCCTTCTGAATGTAGTCGTGAAGGCTGAGAAACTGCGCTACGGAAATTTTGCCCTTTTCCTGAATTGGCAGTTTGGGTGAAAGGGGGGAGGAAACCTCCTCGAGTTTATTTCTAGAGCTCATTTGGTGTTGAGAAGAGCGATTAGTAGATGCAAACATGTTAGAATCCCCCATGGACATTTTCGCGGCTTGTGAAGAGAGAATACTTTTCCTGCCTATATCTACCACCCCAGAGGATCGTGGCTCTTTTTCGGTTAATTTGCTACTGCTATCATCCTGATTTTCCAAGACAAGGGAGTCATTTAGACCGTGACGCCGCAACAGATATCTATTCAGTAAATTCAACCACTCGGTGAGGACGGATCGTACAACAAGTAGCTGCCGATCGTTCTGATTGTGGCTGAAATCGGTCACCAAGATCGCGTTTCGGCGGTTATATTTCACCGAAGCGGGGGCGTTCTCGACAATGACGACGTTGCTCATGCTACGGCCAAGGAGCCGCAGATCCTTGGTGTAATCCTCATCGCTGCTGTACCAGCGGGAGTCTTGGTAGATAATTTGATCAAAAATCGCCCCCTGAGGGTCCAGCCGATCCAACACCCGCTTCGCCACGCAGCTGATGCTCGCCGTCCAGAGCACCAACTCCAGTCGAAGGCCGTTCTCCTCACGCTCCGGGCGGGTCGTGGGGGCCTCGCAGGTCGCCAACGTGGAAACCGATCGCGTAAATTTCAACCCCGCCCCTGCGGCCGAAGAAGGGGCCGCAAACGGGAGGGGTTTATAATGCGGCCGACGATACATCGCGCGAAGATCGTGCAGCAGCTGAACAGCCCCTGGTCGCAGGAGAGGCGGGCCGGCAACGCGATTGTTGCAAAGCGTCTCGTCGAGATCAAACACCACCGTCGCGGTGCGCTCCCGCTCTTCCGGGGAGAGCAGAGGCGGGATGATGACGATTTTCGAGACCGCCGGGGATGTTTCCCGCTGCACGGAGCCCTCCAGAGGGGGGATCTTCTCTAAACTCGTGCTGGGAGAGCGGCGTGAGGGGGTGGTGCAGGCGACGACCCCCGACCGCCGCTGCGAGGTGGAGGCCCGAGACGAAACGACGGGGTTGTGCAGGCTGCATCGGAGACGACTCGAGAACGTGGAGGAGGCGGGGAGAGGGGGCGAGTCTCGTTCCGTCGACGCTAAAGGGGTTCCGAGTTTGATGGAAGGCCCGTTCAAGCCGGATCGTCGCGCGGTGTCGGCTTTGCCCCGCCCGGAAGGGGGTTGAATCACCACCGAGGGGTCTAACCCTTTCACGGGCTGCTGCTGCTGTCGCCGGAGGATGAGTCGTTCCTGAAGCGACATCGCGACGGCCGGCCCCTCCCCCCCTTTGATCCCAACCCGAGTCGGGGAAAAGGGAAGCGGAGAACGTGGCAGACTCGACGTCGCCGAGGACGATTTGGGCCCGTCGTTTTCCAATTTAATTTCGTCCTTTCGCATCGTAAACGAGCCGTTTTCCAATTTGTCGGCTTGGATTTTGGGGGATTTCGACTCCCCCATCCCGCTCATGTGACGGTCTCTGGGGCCCTCCTCGGGTGGATTTTTCTCGCGATGGCGCCGCCGTGAGGGGGCTTTTTTGACTTTAATGAATTCATGGCATCGACCTAACTTTCTACGACGAGATTTATACCACGCGGAGCAAATCAGCTGCCACCGTTTGGTGGAGATCAAGCGAGCCCTAGGAGCCACCACCGCAGAAGGGCTGGGGGGATCCTTATCAGAACCCGCTGCCGGCCTCTTCACCCGAGGGCCGACGACGCGTGGGGAGGGGGCGACGAGGGTCACATTCACCCGTTTTCGGATGATATTTAAAAAAGAAGTGGACTCATCCTTTTTCCCGACCCCTGCGGATGACGATTGCCGTGCCAGACCCGTGCCCGCCTTCCCACCAGACCCGGTCGATGGCATCGCATTAGCTGAGTTCACCGGCTTCTGTCGTTCGGCCACACGAAAAGGGGCCGTCGAGGTTGACGGGGTCGACTTTTTGGGATTCTCGAAATGTTCATGCGTGGATGGCATCGACCGCGGTGCTGGTTTGGGTTTCTTGACAGAATTCCTTGAGTTTACACTATCAATGGATTCTTCATTCATGAAGGATATGTGACGCGGTGGGACCGTTGTTGGGGTGTTAAACGAACACGAAGACGCTTCAGGAAAAGAAATGGAAGTATCCGCTAACACAGTTACCTCATGAATCTGGTTCGCGATCGAGTCTTCCAGTGCACCGGATTCTTCCACTGCGTTCATGGAATGTAGCTTCAGCTGAACTGCGTGCCCCAATGGTCCTTTACTAACATCTGGTATTGATTTAGTCGGGTCTTCGATTTGAACATTCACTCGTTTGATGCTTTCTTGATCCTCTGAGAGCCGCACTCCACTCTCCATCCTTAAGATGTTTGCACCGGTTTCACTGAAGTTTTCCTCACTTGGGGTGGTTATTCCTAGACTCAAGATGCTGCAAATTGCCTTAATATTGCTGTCTTTGGGGCTGTATGTAGACTCTTGTTCGGTGAATATGTCTGCATTGTTATTCTCGCATACAGAATGAAGCAGATTGTTCTTTTCGTCAGTTAAGGGTATTGATAAGGGTAGTTCCGTTTCGGGTGATGAATGAGTGTGTGGTATAGCACTGCGCGGGTAATTTGCTTTTGAAGTGGAAAAACGAGGCTTGTTCACCGCCTCATCTATTGCCAGTGAGGGACCTGGACAGGAGTTATTTTTCTTCTTCATAGCAGTTCGAGAGTTTCGATATTTGGCCCTTTGTGCAGATTCATTCATTTCGAAAAGGTATGTAAACAGTCACTTGTTTTTTAATGTGGCGAATACAGTCATATATAATTTCCGAATACGAATAAAATATACTACATTTGATAATCCAGAGGTAAAGAATGATGAAGAAGATGTTATCATGTAGTCACAAATCGTAAAATTTAAGATTGGGATCTCCTCGGTTCTTAATCCTTCTTAAAAAATACCATTCTAGGTAATACTACCGCCACATTAGAAAAGAACTATCCTCATAAAAGATGTGTACCCCCATAACATTGTTGAAACATATTAAACAGAATTAGTAATAGCAATTATAGTTTTGAATATTTAAAGCAAGCAAACTATTTATTTCCCTACACATGCATATACATACTAGCATAACCTTTTTTCTTATGTATTTGCTTCAACTATAAAAATTTCAAACTATACTGCCTACTTTGTTTAAATATTTAGCGCACAGGGAAATAAAGGAATATCATTCTCTACAATTGTTCTTAATATTGCTCTCCTTTTACATCACAATCCTGTGATTCTATTTTTACTATTATTTTACCACTTTTCTAGTAGAATAGATTTCCCAAGATAAGCAAAAGAAGGTTCCTTAGGTCATGCATGAAAAAGAAAGCTAAAAATGGGAAAAAAAAAGGATTTTAGAAGATATCACGAATGAGGAAAATGGAATCCGCTCATGCTTGATGCACCAAGAGGCACCTGTATGGGTTAGAATCAAGAACCTGCGATTGGAGCAAGAGGCAACAAAGTAAAAAAACCCTAGAAAAGATAGCCAGGAACATAGGGCGGTGCCAAAATATAAAAGACGAAAACATCTAATAGTCGGCATGCATTTGCAAAACAAGAATATAATAAAATATGCACTATCCAATGTTTCAGAGGACTTGTAATATAATTAATATACATTTACGTAAATTATTTTACAAGAACTCGAATATATAGAATAAAAAAATCAAAAACAGAGAAAATAAATTAGAAAAAAACACCAAAATTTTACTCATAATTTCTTAAAGCAATAAAATGTATATATCACCGGAAAACGAACACCCACATACTTTTAAAAGTTACATTAATTAGTGGATCAAACCTGACGCTAGTATATTTTATCATCAAGCATCCCAACACTTCTATTAATTCCCTCCCCCTCTGTTCGAATAGATCCATCATGTGACTAATAAGCCTCGCCGAGACCAAAAAAAATATGAATTAAGCCGTTCATACGATATCACCATAAGATAAAAAGACTATACTGGTGCATTGCCTACATTAAGCAAATATAAAAATATATATATCGCAAGATCTATTCTTAACAGAAATTGGAAACAAACGACAGCTTCCCTTTTTGATCCTTCTCAGGTATATAATAGTTTTTTTTAAAGCAAGGGTGGTGAGTGTATCCTAGGTGGGGGACGACATAGCTGAACTTCGTCGTCGGCCTCTTCCATGTATTCCTCTTCGTCATCATAATAATCTTCGTCATCGTAATATCCTTCCTCATAATAGCCCTCCTCGTCTTCACCGTCATAATTGTAACCCTCAAAGTCATCTTGATCATAGGCCTCATTCAGCTGACAGGTGCCGGCTTCCCCGATGCCGTCGCTTTTCCCTTGGTTCGATCTCCCAGCGAGTGGAATTTGCTGAGGGTGGTATGACGAAGCTCCTCCTTGCGGCTGCGCGTTCCATTCATAAGGATCCAGAGGATCGTCCGAGGGCTTCGATGCCTTGAGGAAAGCAGGGCATACATCCACTGCAGTCCGCTCGGCCCTTGCCATGTTCGCTTGAGCGGCCTCACGCGGTTCGGCTACGGCGCTGCAGGGGGGGGAAGTCCGCCCTCGCGGCGGTTCCTGCGCGGCGGCAGCGCTCGTGGTGGTTGCCGGTTTCGTCCGCGTCGGATCCTCCGCTGGGGGAAGAACCCCACCCTTCCGAGAGAGAGAAGGTTCCGCCACGGACGCGGTGGGATCAGCCGCTGCGTCTTCCAGGGCCCCGCTGGCGCCATAACGGACCTCCCCGGGCAGCATCAACTCCTCGACGATCCCGGGCCCGCCATTCGAGGCCTTCGCGCCATCCAGGATATCCAACTTTCCGGTCACCAAGGAGGAGAAGACGGTGAACATCTGACGGGCGTGCTTGACCAAGGCGTGTCGATCCCGCCAGGATTCCATCAAGGCCGGTCGGGTGGCCAACTCCGAGAACTCCTTTGCGATGGTCCGCCGGGGTTTGGCCACTTCCGGGTCGGCAGGGTGGCTTTCCCACGAGCCCCGTGCCGGGCCGGAGGCGTCCAATTGGAAGGGCCCGAAAGCCTCGGTGGGGGCCTCTAAGGGCACGCCCTCGCGATGCCCCGAGGAGGGCCGGCCGGCCACGGGATGACGATGCGGCAGGGAGGATCGCTGGGGATTTCGCGCGCTCCCCCAGGCCGCCTTGGGGTGGGAAACCAAGGAGGAGGTTCGACTGGGAAGACGCGGCGGCGGGTAGCCGGTGCCGCTTCGTTTAAAGAAACTTCCAGGCGAGATGGGCGTGAGGGATCGCGGTTCGAGCGGGCGACCCTGCGTTTCCCCCAAACGGCTGAGCTCCCGCAGGGTTAAGGGGCTCACCGGCTCGATGGGCGCGTGGACGACGCTAAACAAACGCGGTTGCTTTTCGACCGAGACGGAAGGCATCACCAACGGGACGAAACACGCGGGATTCATCATGGAAAGGAGCACCGCGCGCGCGTCGGGTAGATCTCGTGATTCTTGGGGGGGGATCGTATCCTCCTCGCCGGACCCCCACCCACGCGCGTCAGCGGACCGCAAAGACGGGACGTCGGTAAAAACTCGGGGGATATCCACCACGGGCGAGGTTTCCTTCGCGTATTCGATCGAGTTCGATAAACCATTCGAGAAGATTGAGAGCGCCGAACGGTTGTAACTAATACCAGCCTCGCTGTTGCCCCCAACGTCTCCGAGCGAAAAAAGGAATCCAGCATTCTTCCCCGGTTGAAGGGTCATCGATAAGGGGTCTTCAATGGCCTCTCCGGCGGGAGTGCCCTTCACTAGGGTCTGGCCGTCATTCTGCAGATGCTGGGGGAATACTGGGGACCCCATCATCACCCACTCTGCCCACTCCTTCACCTCCTCTTCCTCCACTACGAGATCGAAATCCATCAAGTACAAGAAATCAAGCTCCAGAGCACGTAGCTCGGTGATAGGAATGCGGGCGGCCTTGGCGAATATCTGATTAACCGAATAGGTGGATCGGTTATCCTCGTTGTACATCTTCGTCGCCGTCAAAATCGCCACGGTGGTGAGGCGATACCAGTTGCTGCTCGTTACCCACGCACTATCCACCATGCCGCGGGGCCGACCTAACCTAAGAAGGTACACCAACGCCGCGAGGAGTACCGTCGGAGCCTCCCCTTCCCACCCAATCCAGTTTTGAAGAGCGAGCAACAACGACCCCAAGTAGCCCCCACTCGGGGTGGAAAAAAGCGTGGCGAGAAAGGGAGCCCCGCCTTCCCGCGCGTTCGGGGAGGAGGGAGGGGGAACGGCCCATGGCGGGAGGCCGTCGAAGGATCGAGTGCTCACCACGAGGCGGCCGTCCTCACACGTGGCGAAGGCTCTCGACGCGGGAAGAGGGGCATTCGCCACGCCTCGTTCCCCTTTCAAGATTAGTTCCTGAATCACCCGCTCGTACAGAAGCCCACATCGCAAGATGATGGCGCGAATTGGCGAGAACGCCTCGGGTTGGTGGATATCCACGGGGGAATGGCTGATTCCTACCGCGGCCACTGCCACCTCGACCGGCGCGCTGCTCGAGATGGGCATTTAAAACGCGCAGTGTTATTTGGACTTTTGCGCGTTTTCTACACTTCCAAAATTCTATACACTACCGATTAAAAAAATAATAAAGTGACAAACACAAAAAAAGGAGCAAAAAACACAAGCTTGATAGGCTAAATGAATTTTAACCAGAATGGTAAGAGTTCATTAACACAAGGTATTCAATATAGTCCTATTTAAGTCCAGAACGGGGGTCAATGTTTTTTTTACGACCATTTGAAACAAAATTGAAGGTGTGATGCTATAAATATTTTAATTTATAACCCGTCATTTACTCCGAGCTGTGTGTGCCACCACACTGGCGCTTGAAGTTGTTCGCTTTGGGTATGTAATCCTTGTATTTATGTGCCGAAGTGGATAAAGTGCATCTGTAGAGTTTCCATTTAAAGTCAGAAACAATCAAGAAGAGGAAAATCTCTCTGGGTATATTTCGTTTTCCTAAAATAAGAAGCAGATACAGAGAAACGCAACGGGGGAAAATCAAAACGAATCCTAATCCACATCAAGAGAGGCCAATGTATCACATGGAGAAGTGGGATGATTTTACAAACCTATCCGCACTTTTTTCACCTTTCAGATACACAAGAACGAAGAGTAAAACACATTACCGTACACCCAAAGCTTTGAGCATACGCTCCTCACACCGTCGTGCACACGCATCAATGAAATCACCGTCCGCACGCCGTCGTTTCCGCGCTTCACGACTTAGGAAAAGCGTGCGCTGATGCGCAATGAGAGCCTCATTCTGAGATGCAACACCGCTTCCGGGGTTAGATAGGTGATTGGGGTTGCCCTCGGACCCCGGAGCCACCTCCTTCAGCGCGTCAGAGATGGGTCTTCCCTTTGCATTCTCTGCTCCACGTTCCTCCGCGTGTGTTGGAGTTCCTTCCGTTAACACGAGTGCCTCTAACTCACTGAAAGAAGGCGGGGAGATCCCGTCCTCAGGGAGGGGGCCTCGCTGCTGCTGCCGCCCTCTTTCCGAGGGTTGGGCATTTTCATAAAGCCGCATGAGCATCACCTGATCATGATGGCCGCCAGGGTCCGTCGCTTTGGTCTCGCTCACAGATGAATTGACATCGTTCGAATGGCTACTCGACAGCCCTGAAGGCGGATCGCCCGCAGAGGTGGCGAGACCACGTTGTTGGTTGCGCTCTAAGCTTCTAATGTAGGCCTCTAAGGGGTCATTGTCGTCATGACTTTCCCCTCGTTTCTTGGAATCGACGAGTTCATCGGGTGCGTTTTCGGTACCGTCGGTTTGGCCGCTTTGGCGTTTATGATGGCGCCGAAGCATCTGTTTATACGCTGGCGTCACGAAAACGCCCACTTCCAAATCTTTTTCGATTAAAGCCGGATCATTTGAGCGTTCGGCGCGAAGTTTCCGCAGTAACAACTCCTCTTGCTCCTCTTTCCGCAGCCGTAATGCGGCAGCAATCGAGTTCCCGAAGACGCTTGAATCACCACGACCAGCTTTCCCATCACCAGCTACGGGAACAGAACCCGTGGGGTTGTCAATGAGCAGATTAGAAGCGGCATTCCAACCTCCACTAAACCCAATTTTGGAAGCCAACCTACGTTCAAGAAGCTTCTTTCGATCTTGTTGGGCACTACGAATCTCACTTTCAGTTAAAGCGAATCTTCCTCGGGGGGCATCGGACATACTACCGGGGAGTTCATTGGAGCGAACAGGTGGTGCAGGGAAAGGTAATTTAGATTCTAGTGGCTTTTTCGAAGAGTCACCACCAACTATAGGGTGGCTCCCGCTATGAGTACTCCCACTACTACTACTCGTCTCGGAAGTAAAATCATTGTCATCAAGATCAAAGAGCGACATTATCGAAATTATTTACTTTGCGCAAACCCATTCTTAAGAAACAAAAAAAGAACAATAACAAAGAAGATGATAGCAATAGAAAATAAATCAAGCTGAAAAAAAGACCAAAATTAGTTTAAAAAGTAGCCAAGTTAACAAAGCAAAGAATACAATAAAAAGAACATTACCAAAAATAAAATAAAATAAAATACATAAATATTACAATCACACTACGAGCCCCTACTGCGCGCGCTTCCCTCAGCCCTGGTATTAGGTTCGAAGGCGGTTGTTGTCAGCTAACATTTCCTTGGAGAGATGCCACAATCGTCATCGGGGAGCGTATTCGCGCACTCACGCCAGCGGGGCATTCAAGACGGGAGAAACAGTGGGATGCTTCAGCGATCATATTGAATGGATATGTTGGTTGTCAAAGTGTTTCATGTCAGGGCACGCGGCTCGACAAGAGATTCCCTTCTTTGTGCTGTCATCCTGTGCATCCAACGTGTTGAGAGGGAGAAAGAACAAAGAGAAAATACATGATACGACACACACAGCGAGGTCGCGTATGGTGAAGTGCTTCGCCTCCGTAGACGGCTCAGTGGATATGTTTATCGGTGCGTCATGGGACGATGGATCTGAAACACGGACCATATCAGCTTCATCAGTGCCGTCCGGCGAAGGAGACAGGGAAAGGGAAGGGGAGGCGAATGCAAAGGGGATCGGGAGAGGAGCACGAAGGAGAACACCCCGTGCTGCCACTCCACGCCGCGACAACCGTAATCAGCTCCACGCTCATCCGCAGAGGCTCCTCAATGAAGGGGTCGCCTCGGTTGGTCAATTTCTGCTCTTGTGTAGAAGAGGAGGAAGAGCACCTCTTGCTCATCACGTTACGGTAACATCGCGCGCCAACCCCACCCCCTCCCTCCGCCCATACACACACACATATCGCTACTCCCGCTAATCGACGCTCTCTCGGGGTTGCGAGATAGGGTGCGTGCGCATAATAGGCGGGGCGAACCCACATGAGCACTCCCATTGTTTGTACGTATTTATTGTCCATTTTATTTCTTTTTTTAAGTATAGTCTTTTTAAAGCAATGATAGAAAAGAGTACTTTGTATTTTTGATCATATCTGGACTTATTTGTTTTACTCTTATCACCTTTTTTGGTAGAAGAATGATTTTTCTTCATTCTTTTCTTTGCTAGGGCACGGCGTTTTTCGCTACAAGTGAAATATTATGGCTGAAAATAGCGCAAACCATGTTAGTTTGCTGGGGTTAGCCAAATACTCCACTGCGCGTTCCGTCACAAGCACATCCATGACTTTATCATTGTCACTTCCCATTATTATTTTTACCTTTTCACTCGATTCTTCAGATATGGTTTCGGCCTCCTCTTTATGACTGTACTCAAGTTTTGACAGACGTGCCCGATCCAATGAGTTTAGTCGAGCATGTAAGCCGACTCTTTCCCACTTCTTACCTCCACGTAACCAAAAGCTGCGGCCAGTTAGGCTTCGCAACGGCCCCACGCCGAAAGCTGCGGCGTGCTTCGCCACGACCACCCGCTCAACGGCTCGAAAGCGGAAGGCATTTCCTGCCTTGTGCGACAAAAACGGTGCTTGAGGAAAGAAAAAGAGCGTATCCCACGGTGAGGTGTTGACGCCCACGAGACGTACGTTACCTGGAAGCCGTTGCCATACCCAGTCTTGTAGATGACGCTTTGGAAGCATCGAATTGTGAGGGAGGTAGAGCAACTGAAGCGCATGAACGCGATCCTGAACGGCACCGCTGACCTCTTCGATGAACCTCTCCCCCCGCTGGAGTTGTTTAGCGCTCTCCGCATCCCCATCCTTGCTATTCCACCTTTGGTAAGCACTTGCCAGCCAATTGATCATTCCTACAACACACGAGGTTAAAAGATTACTGAAGTATGTCCTAAGATTTCCTCGACTATTTTTTATATCTATATCTGCATGCTCTTGATTCAAAACGAAAGTGAATGAGCCCTTAGAAGCGTTTGAAGTCTGACTGTATGCTTCATTGCTCTCGACCCTTTGGGTGCCCTCCATGTGGTTCGAGTCGTTTGACGGATGGGCACGCAGAGGCACCCAGGATACACGCCATGCTTTTGCTTCGTCTGAGCTACTTATATGGAGTTGATCCTTACGTGAAGCCACCTTCAACAGCACTCGCCTTTGTCGGTCGACTTCTTCCTGCACCTGCGCGACGTATGACATCGCGTATTTTTCGCCAGACTCACCTCTATTGGGTATCTCATGCTTGCCGTTGCCATCGGTATCGATCGAAGGAATCGTTTCGACAAGCACGTCGCATGGCGCCGCTCGAAGAATAAGGCCGGCGAGGTTGGAAGCATCGGATTTTGTTATTCTCTCGGTTGCAGGCGGCAATAAAATGAGAACCGACCGAAAGCACCATGGTGGGTAATACGGCATCAGTTGCATAGAAACCGTTTTGCCCTTCCCTTGAATTAGCTCGCTAAAGAGATATTTATCCCTAATAAGCTCCTCAAAAAGCCAGAACACGTAGTGATAAACGACGGGGTCCGTGGTAGTGAACTGAGCTACTCGACCTTCAATAAATAAGGAGGAAAGAATTGCGACATGGGCCTGTACACACCGCCCTAACGTGGCCTCAACCTCAAGCGCTGTGTTACTTATGCCTACCGTTCCACCACACCCCTCCCAGATCATATTGCCACTACCGGGGATGTGGATGGGGCACGATGAGAGCGTTCCGTAATCGCTAAACGGGCATCCCTCACCACGATCGGTGTTACCATGATAGTAGGCATCCTCAAGTGGATTTGACTCGAGTGGTGAAGGTGGCAGCGCGCGGTTGGAGTCCCCGTTGGACCACTGAGCGGTCGTCTTACCGCTTTGGGCAGCCGAATTGACATCTCTACCGTCCGGATTGGCGGCCGTTGAAAGATGAGGATTCCGGCGGTCCTGACGGGCAAGCAGCTGGCGACGCCGCTGCTTCCGGTTCGAACGGACCCCCACCACCCGGGCGACACGCTCATCATCGGCGCTGGGGCGAGGGGTGAGACCTTGCACGCGGTTGAGCACCTCGGTTCTGCTCACTGCGCATTGCCCATGCGGCGCACGCGTGTCCCCGACCGCCCAGGTCAACTCCAGTACATCGTCGTCGATTGTCTCGGCTGTCTCAGGGTCCCACGTGTGCGGGGCCGGGACCTGTTCTCCTGTCCCATTGAGGGTGTCACTCATCCCGACGGACACACAGGTGAAGGGGTCAACCCAGTGTTCCATCAAACGGGTAGGGAAGACCTGGGACAGGAGTCCTGTGCGAAGGCGTGTGGTATGGGCAAAAGGCATCTGCAGCCGCGCGAAGGTATCCTGCACATCCCGCAGACACCGAAGCCAGAGCAGCAGCGACAGCGCCAGATGCAGGCGCGCCGCGTACGGTAGCGCCTGACAGATCAAGGCGTGACTACGGGTGGAGGTTTTCGTGAAGTGCACCCGGTCGTCCTCCTGACCTAGGACATCGGACGGTGCTTTTTTTTTTTGGAATGAGCCTTTGTGTGCGGAAAAAAACTTCTGGATGGCAGACCGCAAATGGCTCGTTTCCTTGCGTTCGGCGTCACCTTCCTCCAGTAGGTATGGGCCCCTACGAGCCAGGTCCACCAAAGTAGTCCACTTGGACACCGGATCCATGCGCAGCCACGCTGCCTTCCGAAGTCCAATCTGCCCATCACTGTAGAGTGGTCGGCAAACCCTATGTGTAGTCGAGGCAGATGCTGCTAGGGGTATATGTGGTGTTGTGTGAAACGCCTTGATGCTCGAACCCACCGAAGTAGACTTGGCATTCGATTGATTGATATCGTCGCTGTGTGTATCACTCATAAATCTCGACTGGGAAGGAAGCGTACACCATAGAGCTGATCTTCCTACCCGAGTTAAAGTTGCGCAGATACTTGGCAGCCTGCGTGAAATGTGATGGAAATGTGACCATGAACGCATCCCTTCTTTCGCGAGTTGAGGGATTTCAGCGGTACTGTCCTTGTCATGCGTTAGTGTAAAGCGGAGTAAGGGAGTGCAAAGAAGGCATCGTTCAGACAAAGAGGAGGACACATTTCTGGGATGAAAGGGAGATATAGAAAAGTTCGAAATAATATCATCAAGTCAACTGCAATTAAATGAAAAAATCATTTTAGATTTTCATTGTCTTTGGTCTAACAGTAACAGAGACGGAAAGGAATTCTAAGCCGTAAAAAATGCAAAAAGCCTCACACACGCATACATATACATGTATGAATGGGTAAATATATCAGTGTGTAATGTGAAATACCTAAAAAAAAAGACGGAAAAACGTGAGAAAGAAATGTAATTGCTCTCCCACTAACTGTCTTCTGTCCTTAGAGCTGCATTCGTTAGCATCTCTGCGTACCTCTCAAAACTAAACGTCTTCTTCCCACTCAATATTTCCTCCATGACTTCGCGTCGAACTGCAACCAAGTTATCTCGCAACATTTTAACACCTCTCTCTGACGCTTCATACTGCTCACGCAAGTTTGAGCTTCCGTGCGCAAAAGCCGTAGCTACAGGATTTCGAAGCAAAGCCTCTTGACGTCGTGCTGCAGCTGCCTTTGCGCGCTTTTCCTTGGCTCCCATCCCCGCGGGAAGCCGCCATGGCTTGCTGTAGTTCAGCCATGCCTTTGGCTTCACCGTGGTAGTATTCATGTGTGAATTGCTAGCATTCATACTGTTTGAAGGAGTTGAGCAAGAAGGGTCATTGCAATCACCCACAGCCTTGCCATTACACTCCATTTGCGCATCGGCAATTGCTTCCGGGGTGTAGGGTGGAGTCGATGCAAGGTAGGGTGCTAGGCATCCCCTAAGTATTGTGGCGTTGATACATGGAGTCTGTTCGACAGAACGACAACGTACCTCTGGATCGTTTTCAAAGTTGCTAAAGTCAAGAACATCTGAAAGTGGCTTAATACTAGTTTCCCGGAGTGATAACCCAATCTGGGCATCCTCACCAACCTGTGTACACGCTGCACTCACTCGTTCTGTATGTTTTGGGAACTTCCTGCGGCGTAGGTAAGGCTCGCCTAATTGCTGCAATCGTAGTACCGCTCGAACCGAGGCAGCGTCAAAGGCTGGGTCTGGTAGGAAGCGCTTCGATAAAGTGTAGAGCCACTGTTGCAATTTAAGGTGGTGTAATATGCAAGCTGCAGTCGGGAGTAGACGCTGTGGCTCTATCGAAGACAAAGGCATGTCTAATGTGTCCAGACGTTTTACGGCCTCGCAGAGCTCTTCTAAATTTTGCATGAGTTGTGTAGCCAACGGTTGTGGCGACCAGCACAGTCTGGAAAGGTCAACACATTTGTTTGGAAGCAAGGCATGGAGGACCATGGCGTAATCGCAACCCGTGTAGTCATATGAAGCTATCAGACGTGGATGATCATGGTCTATCTCGATGCAGTGGGCCGCAGAAAGCTTTGCAGAGAGTCGCATCATAAAGGCGCTAATACACTCAAGCGTTGGGTATTCCGTTGGAGCTGAGGAAGGACTCACTCCACAGTTGCCATTGAAGGATCCAGATGTAGATACTACGGTTGTCATTCGGGTAGTACCCCCCTTTCTTCTTCTTCTACCTCTATTCTACGTTGGTTTAACTTTTCTCGAATTTGTTTCTAGTAAAACGGAAAATATTCTAAGAATAAAGACTTCTTGCGTTCAGCTTTGAATATGCGTACAAGCAAACAGATTCGCACACACATAAAGACTTGTAAAAAGCAAAACTTGATAGTAAATTAAAAGGGTAAAAATGGAAGGAAACAAGTGCTCACACAGAGGAGATGCAAGAGAGGGCAAAAGCATGTCGTCTTTTACGAGAGTATTATTAGAATAGTGGGATAATTGGGCACTGTATAGAGAACTCCTTGCCACTTGAGGACGCGTCCCATGATTAGGTGGCGTTGAAAGGAGACGGATCGATAGAAGCACAATCAAAAAAGTAGCTCGCATCCATCATTTTCTATTCGACCTGATTTTTGTCCTAGGGACCGACCCTCAGCCTTGTCAGACCCGTTCTCGCGTTCCGGGCGAGATGCCAACCAACGAAAGATGGGTGTATCAGGCTTACAGGGGCGGTTGTCCCCACCGACGGTAGTCTGCACTACGACATCACCCGAGCTCAGCCCAGCGAAAATGCTGCCACTACCAACACTTCCAAGAGTCGCGGCATCCGCGCAAACGCAGAGCACATCCTCATTCGGCCTTCCCGCACGCCAGACTTGGAGAGTCGAAGTTGCACGCGAAGCCTCCGGGTCGTTACCACACCGAAAGTGCACGACGTGGCCGCCAACCACGTGTCGAAATCCTTCGCGGCTAGTGCAGGTTAGGAAACCGTCTTGTGTTGAAACGACAGGCATGATGTCGGTGATGTACGGCAGGTCCACAACCGTATCGCCGAAGAGGGGTGGTGCGGATACACGCGAAGGTGATGCGCCGCTTCCCTTCTCCAAGGGCAAGAGCTGCCGGAGGTCGACAAACTGAAGCTCTGCTCCGCGACGGACGGCTAGTACCATAGGATATGCCTTAATTACGCCGCTCGAGTGAGTGAACTCAGCCATCCCCCCAACATGTTTTTCAAACACTTCATCCCCTGGCAAGGTCCTTGAGCCTGCACGCAACGACCGCCCCTGCGGTGCATACAAATCAAACGAGGCGACAGAACCCCCCGGACGGTACTTGATCCGATTATCCCATATCTGCACACACCCATCCTGGCCGCCCGTGGCGAACACGCTTCCCCCACCACCGACCGAAGTTAGGCTCAGAACGCTTTCGACAATAACCCCATCGTCAATCTGGCCGGAGCCGTGCTTCACCGCGTACACGGCGTGCCGCTCGTACGAGCTCTGATCCCACAGACGGGCCGTCCCGTCCTGTGCGCCCGTGTAAAAGCTCCCGGCTACCGTAGCGTGCGGACTGGAGCTCGTAACGGCCGCGCGGTGTCCTTTACACTGCACCACATTTACCATCCCACGCTCGCCGATCGCGCAGTAACCGAGCTGTTTCCCACCAGACGCGATAAGCGCAGGGCTGTCTCCATCTTGGCAGGCCACATAATAGCTCCCATCCACCGCCGCGTGAAGGGCAATAATCGGCTGGTACCCGGAAATGCGGTTCACAAATGGCGTCAGCACCCGTGTGGGCTCAATCCGGCGCGAGGTCAGGGGCTGAGTGAAGTCCCACATGAGAAACTGACCGTCCTCACCCCCCGCACAGAGTTGCTGGCCGTTGGGGGAGAGACAGATACAACGGACACGTCCTTTCATTCCACGCAGGCGAAGTCCATACTCCCCTGCTTCCACTGTCTGGGAGCGCGGGACGTCAGCGTCACCGTTTTCCTTGTGTTTCTTGAGGATGTCTTTAGCCTGATTGTCCAGGTTCGTTTCATTGACCTGCTGAGCTTCCTTCGAAGCTATCCCAGAGGAAGCACCTGAGTCGTTACGTCGTACCTTGGTAAAGAGACTATGGGTGGTGGAAAGGTGCTGCGCAGCGGCATGCCGCGAAGTTGACTCGTCTATGCTCGCCACGTTGACTGTCTGTTGGCTGGGATCATACTCATCGCTATCACTGCTGTTCATCCTCACTAGCAACTTCTTCTGAAATGAGTAACGTATATATAGGTAACAAATGGTGATATGCCTTGTTGATTTTATCGTTGTCCGTTTGGTATATCGATTGGGTGCAATTTCCCTATTTTAAGATTTTTTAAACGGCTACCTTTCATAAAAATCGCACAAGAAATACGGAAAGCGAGATTCAAAGACATACTGAGTTGTACAAAGCCAATAGGGATAATAAGAGATGCAATACAAGAGATATGTACGTGCATGCATATCAAAGGAAACCCAAGAAAAGGTTTCCGTGGTTCATTTAATAATAATTTATTGGAATTTTAAATCCAAAAATAAAATGAAATGTTGTCCTGCTAGTTTCAAAAAGCCCAGGGAAATATATTACCAGTTCCAGCGGTGGGGGGTATCGCCAGGCTTGATCGTGAAGACCGAGCGAAGATAACCGGCCTTGGCCGTACCCATCTTGTCCTTCTTGATGGACTCAATGAGGGCAGCGTCCACCTTCTTCTGGAGCTGGGCGCGAAGATCCGAGACGATGGTCTTCTTCGCGGCCTTGCTGGTCTTCTTCGCAACCTTCTCCGCAGCCTTCTTGCGCTTATCACCCATGAAGTCGCTTTCGCTCTTAACCGGCTTCTCCGCCTTGGGGCGCGCGAACACCTCGGGGGTGATCTCGCTCGTATCCACGGAGGAGATATCCACCTTCGTGCTCGTGGCGATGATATAACGCGAGTCGATGCGGCGAATCGGTACGCCGTTGTACTTCATCGGGCCGGAGATCACCAGCGGTCCGTTGCGCGGCAGCTGCTTAAGCACGACGGCCCGGCGGCCACGGAAGCGACCGGCGAGGATGATGGCGATGGTGCCGGGGGTGATGCTCTTGCGCAGGGTCGAGCGCTCGACCTTCTTGCCGCTCGCCTTCTTCTGCACCTGCTTCTTAGCTACCATATTTTTCTCTGGCAAGTTGAACTTTTGTGCCGACTGAGAATCAGAGTGAGTGGTAAATGAGTCAAGACAATAGGGGAAAAAAAGAGGCAGTGAAGAAAGGGAGATTAAGAGTAGGTTAACGATTTAAGGCAACATATTCAAGAATATCTATAAGCTCTCTTCTTTCACATATCACTCCAGTATGGATTTGTTAGTATAGCGTTCAATACAAAAACCATGTTTGTGGCAAACTAGCAATAGTAAGGAACTCTAATGCCGTATGTACTCCTCAAACAGGCGTGTCCCCATATAGCATAGTTTCTGTACTTCCCCGCTTCAACACAACCATATTATAACTATTATTATATGCACAGCAAATTTACGCAATAATTACTCGAATTATATGGGCCGACGTTAACGGGTAAAAATGATTATCATTGTTATTAGAGGATTAGTTCACCAATGAATAAATGTAAAAATAATGTGAAATCATTCACTAAACGGTTCTAAACAACGATTCGATCTTGATTCTTTTCGTTGGCGCTCGATGTCTCCCATCTCGTGCATTCTATTATCCTTAATGGTTCCATATAATCTTGTAGCGACCCAGTAGTTCACTGCTTCTGCATAGAACATGCAAAACAGGCAAAAACCCCGGCATGACATAACTCTTGTCACGAAATACCTCTAGTAGGGTCTGGCTCACATCAATTACGTGGTATTCCGGCTCCTTTATTCCGTCATCGATATTGAAGCAGACCACAATATCGTCTATGCTGCGATACCGTCCCTGTTCATCCCATGGAAACGGTATCATTTCATCTAACAGATCCGCAGTGCACAGGTCACACGATACATCCTGCATAATGTCGGTCTGTTGGTACTCGTCATAGATAAAGAGAATCGGGACGTGAAGCATTCCCTCAGTATCAAAATACGGTTGTGGGTTACCATAGATTGCCATTTGTTCACTCATCACTTCGCTCTTCTTTGAAAGACGAATTCCTAGCGACGTAATGTAACGCGTCAGGCTTACGACATCCACCGCCTTTTCCCGTGCTTCATGTATTTTCCTATTTTTTTCAGCATCCACCTTTGATTTGCCCTGATGGCACACGTTCTCCAAGTCCTGAAATTCCTGTAACCCCTTTGCGTCCAGGGGAGGCTTAACTTGCTTTCCACGAGATAGCATGCCAAGCGCAAGATCGTATTTACCAAGCCGTTCAGCGCACTTCGCGGCGCGGTAGTACGCCTTGTGGTAATCCGGCGATAGTATGATGGCCCGCTGGGCGTCCTCCAGGCCGTGCCCGTAATTGCCAATAATAAAACGCGCTAGACTGCGATTGCTGTAAATGATGGCGGTGAGCTGCATGTCCTTTCCTTTCGCCTGCAGAGCTTCAGTGTAGCTATCGCACGCCGCCTTCGCCAGATTTTCACGCCTCTCCTGGTTTGGATTTAGTGCCAGCTTTAACATGCTGTTGCCGTGCTCCTTTCGGTTTTCCGCAACCTCATCTGGCGGGACTTCGTCATACACGATGGAGGAGAGAGCGGCACAATTTTCATTCTTTTCAATATCTTCCTCTGTGATGGTTTCCATAAATATGGGCATGTTTTCCCAGGCGTCTGGGTCGATCTTATAGTCACCGCGTCGGTTCCATATTTCGTCTATTTCGCTTTGGAGGACATCAATGTGTTCCTGCTGCTCACTCGTAAGCTTACTTGGATCAACAAGACTTCGAAGCATAGAATTAATGCTATCGTTGTGGCAAAAGGACAACTATACTATGAAAGGGTCAAAAATGAGAACAATAAGAAATAAAGATACAAAGACGAACAAACACACTAGTTTAAGACAAATATTCCCCCTTAATCACACCAAATTTCATTGACAAATGAAAAGCTCAATCTCAGACGATATATATATATATGTATATATATTATACTTATCAGCAAGATGACTAATACCAAGTTCGCGGAACGACTGGTTTAGTGCGCTGCATGTAATCCTTCCATCTAGGTACATTCACTGGTCTTAAGAATTTTGTGTCAGGATCATTGGCATAGTCTACTACTTTAATGTATGGCGCAAAGGGCATGAAAAAGGTTTGCTGCGGCTCTTGCCAAATGTTTTCCTTAGTGACCTGAGGCAAAGTGGTGCGGCGCTCACGCACGACATCGGGATCCTCCACGAAAGCGAACTGGTGCAAGAATTCGTGATCATTGGTAACCCACCAGCGGTTGTACTTGTAGGGGACCTCACCCGATGCTTTCGGACTGCCATGAACACTATTTGCAGGGCCGGTGGCTGTACTCTGTGGGATCTTGCCTAGACGATCCTGCTCGCGTCTTATGTACCGTTGCAAAGCTATACGCCGAGGTAAGTGGACACGGTGGTAGTGCTCCTTAAAGCTATCAGCAAACTTCGCAGTACGACGCAGCATACTTATGTTTACCTAAAACTTCCTTTAGGGGTTTTCAATAATGGCAAAATAAAATAATTTATACCGTTAACAATGGGGATTAAACCGTTCGGTCTTACCAAAATATATTCCTGAAATCATTATCGAAGATGAACTTCTATCTTTCTATGCTTTATTGAAGCTAATCACGTACATAATTGAATTAATATATTGTGTAGTAGCATTGCCTTCAGATTATTGAGTTCACCATTTCCAAAATAGGTGAAATTTTATTAAGGACAGACAAACACTTAAACCAATAGCACACCACCTAAAGGAGAAAATAAAGAGAAGGTGTGGTGCTCAGTAAAGGTAGATTGGGAGACAATCATATTCGTGCTAACAACATAAAAATGAAGAAAATGATAAACACCGTTATAGAATTTGCCTTAATAAACATTAGAGGTCGATACTAACAAAAAAAAAGAATAGTACAAGTGAATCTACCAACAGAAGAGCATCTAGAAAACACCCCTTTACAGTAATACTGGTCCTCAACGTTCTGTTGGACGAAACTCTAGGTAGCGGCTTCGCTGTATCCTTTGTATCGCCATAGAAACACACGTCCACTCTTAAGACACGTATGTACATGCATACTCTTGTACGAGGAACAACATTGAAACACAATTTTCAAACGAATTTCTTATACTTTTAGTTGTGCGTTATACAGGGATCATAAGGCCTATTCGTTCTATATCCTCATCTTTGAATGAGGAATAAAGTGGTGGAGTTGATTTTAGTTTCACTATTATTAATAATACTGTCATCACCATTACTTACTATATTTCAAGCTAAAGGATTAATCAAGTAAAATAAGAGTAATGATTATGCTAATAATGATACATAAAGAAGGATGGAAAATACTTCAAGTCTAACGTTCGTCTTTTTCATCCTCTGACCTTTTCCCATTTACCTTCGCATCTTCAAGAATGCTCGTCCACAATATGAAACCCTGTTTTGTTGTGTAAGATCTTTCATTTAATACACGTACGGAATAAATATGTACGGCACAACGCTTTTATATTCATCCCATAACTTTCCATATTTGGCGTGGCATCGGGCTTCGTCACGAGCTACACGGTGAATCAGATGAGTAAGGAAGAAAAAGAAGTAAAAGAATGGGATAAAACTTTTAAAGCCACATGAGCTACACCACAAGAAGGCCATTACCAGATCCGAAGTGTAATTAATCTTACGCCCGTAGCGATAGAATCCATCAATAAGGATTTCTCCCTTAGCGCTTTTAAGCGTGCGTGGGTTCTCAAGGTAGCGCCAAGGTAGCTGTGGGAAGGTGCGGCGGCGAATGATCTCCATCGGCACCCCACTGCGACGCATACGGAATCGGTTCTTTTGAGAGCCAACGACGTCCCATACATAGTACGCTACCATTAGGATGATCAACATCATGACCACAGTAGACCTTGAATATTCGTTGCCCTTCAAAACTTTTTGAATGTAGAGGGCTTGCATGCAATAGAGAAAAGGAACACCACAAGTATTCCAGTACGCCAGCATCCAACCAAACTTTTCATAAAACACATCCCATGTCGTGGGCACACACTCTTCCCCTTTTTGAACCGCGTTTACGTAAAGAAGCTGGGCTACAAAGATAACAACCATGTTGTTAGAGATGCGCCCCAGCTCGTTGTACTGCTCGATAGCGCAGCTGACAACGAGTAACATAAGTAGCATCCACGAGTTGCGGCACTCTGCGAAGAGCTTCAGGTCGACATCGCCAGGTAGACGATAATTCAGCGCGGAACCCATGAAGAAGTTGTAGATGAGACTCGGTGTCATACGAATTTGGTGCTTCAATCCGGCTATATAGACCCAAACCGAAATGAAATCTGCTGAAACGGTAGCGGCTGTGAGATACTCACCGTAATGTCGGCACAACTCACCCAAGTCGAAAATTTTAGTGTAATGCAGAATGCAAGCCGTGATGATCAGAACATACCATGCTGAAACAGCGTTGCATCGATAAGTAAGGCGGTATCCATTTTCCGACGCCAGTGGCAGTCCCTTCACAGAAATTCCCGGCAAGATTACTGCAAGAATGTATTGAAAAAGCAGAAAACTCCAAAAGATGACAAATGCTCTCCAGGTCGGGCGGGCCGTCTCTACCAAGTAGCCCAAGAAAACTTTATCCATGCGCTCGCCATTGAGCATGGCGTGGCCGGGATAAATGATGGTACCCTCGAACTTCGCAACGCACACATAAAAGTAGTAAATTATGATGTGTGAAAAAATCATGATACCCAGTGTTCCGAGCGTCCCACCAAATTCGTAGGTGCCATTCCATTGGTCTTTTTCAGGCGTGAAGCGGCGCTCAGTATTCATGTAATAAGCCTCGTCGGGGCTCATCACAGCTGTTTTCACGTTGTTTGTAGCGGTACGCCCACGACTAGCAGAGCGGGTGGATGCAGTCGGCTTACGGTTTACACTCTGCGAGCGTGATCGCGAACGTGAACGCGGGCTTAGAAAAAAATTCTTGTGAGGCATATTATTTTGTGTATATATACGATCTAATTTTTGCCTTTTGTCTTTGATAGGTTATAATAAGTCAAAGAATTTAGTAATTTGCTTTTGAACAGGTTTTGTGTGTTGTATTGTATAGCTCAAACAACGAAACCTATGCAACTGAACCACAGAGCGAGAGAGAGAAAAAAATGAAGAAAATACAAGGAAGCTGTGGTCCAGCAATGGTGATAAAATAGGAAAGATGATGAGAAAGAAAGTGATAATTGTGAGAAGGAAATTAAACAAAGTACATACAAGAAACCGTGACGAACACACCGAGTAAATCCATGATAATCCTTTAAGTGGGGAAATTGTTGATTTTTACTCATTACGAAGCTATGTAATTTGAAACTCGATGCAGTCTACACTCCCCTCCCGTACCATAACCCCCCTTCCTCATCGGTACGAGCAATAGGAATGGGTAAGGGAAATAAATACCTGATACATCGTAATCAAAACGTCTTAGTTATGAACTGTAGCTCAACTGTACAACTAGTTCTCTGCAGCATGCCAACATGCCATATACCCCGCCTGGGGAAATCATAGGGCGAGACAAGTGCGTCACCTGTGCTTCTAGATCCAAACACGCATTCGTTGTGCTGTTCCGGTCGGTAGTCGTTTGATCTCCTTCAAACTCGCGATAGAGCGGCGAGAGATCCATGAATGCCCTCTTCGGGACTATGCCTTTGGGGAGATCAGTGAGTTCGTCTTCCACAGGCAGCCGTAACGCCTTTATACCCGAACTACTTACCGAAGGGCCAAGGCTTTTCTCACCGAGATCAGGAGTGGACTGGTTAATATCCACCGTAAATATGCTGCGACCGAGACCACCGGTACACACTTGAGTCGGATTCAGAAACTGAATATCATTTTTTTGGAGAAATAAACTGCTCTGGTATATCACCCTAAGGTTTCGATGCAAGTCAGGGTACAGTTCCCAGCTGCGCACGATCTTAAAGTTACCCCTACCTGTATTCTTCTCACCCATCTTGACCGCAGGAGAAAATCCTCGAGAAATAGAGGCGGCGGTCTCCACACCGCTAGCTGCCCGCACATCCCACAAACACACCGTCATGAGGTCTCTTCCCGCGATGTAGCGCCCACACGCGCTGAGGCCGCAGTCACTAAGGCTGTTGGTGATGCACTTAAAGGACTCCTCGACGCGGTGCGGCGGGTTCTCAAATAGCTGAGACGCCTGGTTGGACCACCTAAGCGATTGACGGATATCCAGAACCCGTACCACCCCAAAGGATGTCACGACGAAGAGCAAAAATGGCTCATGGGGGAAATGACGCACACGGCGAATCATCTCACACGGGTCATCCTCGCAGGGCGGGCGCATACTGAAGGTCTCAATGGACGTGTCGGGGTGTTCGGTGCACCACAGGTGTATGGTGAGCTCATCCGCGGTGATGAACTGCTCACTGTCCGGTAATGGATGCAAGGAGTGGATGTTGTACTCATGAACCGGGGCGTAGCGCGAGACTTGTTTCATTAAGACCGTAGGATTGGGTGAAGGGCTCATGAGGGGAATGGGGAGGTCTGAATCAAGCCTGTCAACGGCACGAAATCGCGGTGCGGATTCATGCACCTGCAATACTTTGAAGAGCTTGGGAATCTTCTCATTCGACGCGAGGAGGAACACGGTAGGGCTGATTTGGGGAAGAAAAGCCAGGGCCGTAACGTCCGGTAGGACCTCCACACTGTTTAGAGGGCATATCATCGAATCATAGGCCTTTTTTTTCGCGCAAAATTCATACGGATCCTTAGTTCGAGGTGGTATCACAACATTTCCGGTACAACTTAATCGGGGCGAGGAAAATTCATCCGACTCTTCTTCCTCCATGTCTCGCGCGAGATCACTAAGACCCTCGCGCTGAATCGTCGACATTGGTCTTCGCTTCATAACAACCACATTTCCACTGCAGTCTCCGGCAGCAACGTAGTCGCCAAGGGTTGTGATCGAAGAGACATAAAGATTTGAGGCCCTCCTAGCTCCCATTAAAGGGGTAGTTGAAGAAGAGGAGTGGCTGCTAGCCGTGTCCACGTGCTGTGCAAATGGACAACCTAGAATGTAGGCTCCTTCTACAACCACGCTTTGAACGCAAGAGCGTTCTGAAGATACTGGAGAAGCACACAACGCACTCAAAGATTTAGTATTCATCGCTCCACCAGATGGAACTGCGTCGGTGGTGCTCGATGTGGGATCCTTCCCACGCGCAACCCCCATTTTATCGTGATCACAGGTGGTTTTAAGATTCTCAGTGTGTTGTAGTCTTGCTTGAAGATGCTTCAATAAGGTAATCACGCCTGCTGACGGCTGTGCGCTGTCTCCATTATCGGTTAAAGACCTAGATCTCGCACGGTCGGGTGAGCATTCCGATGCAGCAGCTCTTACCGATGACCCACCTAACCGCTCCTTTTTAATGAGATCGATATCCGGGTATGCGATGCCTGCTCCCGACGGAGACGTCATACCTACCCTACCTAACGTTTGAGTAAAATCTACATCTCCTTTTCCCTGCATATTACGAGACGAAGCTGTGTGGGGTGTAAAATTAGCCAACACAATCCGGCTAGCTACTGTGGATACGTCGTGTTGCAACCACTAATACTAATCTAGAGATATGCACTAGTGCGGCGGTGTGCTGTTAGAGTGAGAAAATGGATAATCTGGATTATCTTTCTCTAATGCGACAGCCCTTGACTAGTGAAGTAAACCTTTCGAGTGATTTACTTGAATGAATCTAAAATTAAACCTGCACTCTATTTTAGCAGCATAAATATATGCATAGATATGAGTAGAAACACAAAGTAAGAGCACAATGGATTTCGTACCTAATGAGAAGCGTTAGAATAAGTAAATATAATGATAATACAGTATTCAATAACATGCAAGACATGTATTTAATGGATATATTTTTTTATACACGATCAATTTTCATTCTTGTTACAGCAGATAAAAAGTGGAAAATAGGATACATTCTCCGGAAATATGTATTCCATATTCCTACCTTTCAGCTCCTCATCTCCTTCGCGTTGTTTACTACCTCATCAAAGGAGTATTCAAACTTCTTCCGAAAAGCTAGATCTTGAAAATCGTACTTCCGACGATCTGCTTTACTGTACATTCGGTGACTTACCCACTCAACTGGACACTGGACACGCCGAGCCTGCAGATCACGCCACCAGTATGCGTCCTTGTACTCGGCAGGTACTGGGATGTGGTAAAACTGCTGATCAGGGACCAGATGCGCATTATTCATCCAGTGTGGTGAGTATTTCTCTTCGTAAGTATCGTGATCAATGTAACGATTAGCATGCACAAGCTTGCGGGGGTCGTACATTGGAAGTGGATCCCAGGTGTACTTATGAAGCGATTTCTTATTAAGAATACGCTTGAGTTGGTGCGTGAACATACCTTGGCCCTGTTTAAATATAACAGGATTCTTGCGTAATACCGCATCGAATCTGAACATTGCCTAAGTAGTCTAAAAATGATAGAAGAATTTCTATTAAAAAAGCGTTTTCGCTATTTTCTCGCACTGCCCACTATTGCTTAACACTACTAAGAGGAACGGATAGGAATGCAGGTTGAAGCTTCTGAAGAAAAATGGACTAAAATACTAAAAACAATCTTTGCTGATATTTATCAACGAAATCACTAGCTTACGAAATCAAAAAAAATAGATCATGTGCTTGCGTCCACACCATTTCAGCTTTACAAAAATCACTAATCACGATTGTTTCCTTATCTCTCTCTTTCAATAGGCAACAGGAAAAATGAATACACTAAAAAAGAAGCGAACATCATGTTTTTTTCAACGGTACTTCTATGATGAGCTTACCAAATTTTCCATGTCAGATGCATATTGTGTGCATAAAAGGGTACTCCTAACCATAAAATCTATTCAATCAGATTCGATATTTTTCATTTTTTTTCCGTTGTATATTTTTAAACTGACTCGACCTTTTATTAGGGCGTCTCTATAGGGGATATGAATTCATTTATGCTTCTACTACTACAACATAAACGATAAATTTTCTTCTATATGTATTTGAGGCGAGTCTCCTATCACTCCCATGGCGGTAAGTGTATTTTATTTTTTTTATTGTTTCTATATGAACAGCATATCTTTTCCTGTCTCATAGTGGATACCTTCCGTGCTATGTGTGTGCATATATGACTATTGCTGCCTGTTTTTCTCTCTAAGAAGTTTTTGAGGCTACCTCAGATAAAGTGTTTGCGTTACTGGCAGTATCGCATACTTCCCTTACCCTAAGTCTATGAAGCTTTTGTGCATTTGGGTGTGGTGCGCGGTATACGGTTAAAACTAATGCTTCCTTCCTTTCCCCTTGAGCGTAGAACGCTGCAGCTTCTTTGTGGCAGACGCGATGCGGATTCTTTCACTTTGAAGGTGCGGTATCGGGATTGAGGGCGTTTTGAACCCAGAGGACACTATTGAGGAAGTCATACGGGAGGCTACAAGTGGCGGTTCGGGAGGAGTATGGGGGGCATCCCTGGTAGCAGAGTTACTGTGGGAATCTTGCCTACCCTTGCCACCGGAAGTCGCCTCTACAAGCCTCCTCTGCACATCATCACGTAAGCGAAGCAATTCACTAAGTTTCCTTCGCATCTCCAGCAGCACAGCCTCTGCTTCATCCTCATCGTAGGAGCTAGAACTTTCTTGATGGGAAATATTATCTTGCAGATGCTGAATATCGCGCAGCATGCTTTCAAGACGCAAGTGCAGTCTCTGCGTCTCAGGATCGGCATCTATAAGAGGGTTACCCCAGGTCGTGGCCGGTTTCGGTCGCTCCTCGGCGGGCGCCTTGGCTGTTGGTCGATCCTTCACCTCGTGCTCAAAGTTTTGCGAATCAAACGCCGCGACGGGATCGAGATCGGACTCCGCCTCGTCATCTATGCCCTGAGCCGCTGAAGTCTCCTGAACGGCAGAGTCCACCTCGTCGTCGAGCTCGCCTGCGGCATCCTTCCCGTTGTCTGAGGCACCGCCGGACGAAGCTTCGGGGCATTCCGACGCGCTGAGGTCGCCACCTTCCTCTACCCCTTCAGCATCACCCTTGACCTCATCTTCTAGAGCCCTGGCTATGCTGATGGAGGGCGGAAGGCCGAACTCATTCTCGCCATTCCGCCGGAGACGATCCTGCTCCATCCGTAGGCGGCTAATTTGGCGACGCGCCTCGATAATGCCCTGCTCTAGTTTGTTGATCACAGAGCGCTCCGTGGCGTGGTGCAGACGCCGCTCAAAAAGGCTGATCTCGAAACGCTTCTGCGCAATCTTATTCTGAATTTCTCGCGATTCCATGGTGCTATCGGCGTCTTTTGCACGGATCTCCCGTTCACGCTTCGCATCCCGCTCAGCGGCCCACGAAGCGTGCATCTGGACGGAAGAGATGCAGGAATCGAGTTCCTCGAGATCAGCACGCGAGGCTGCTAAAACAGTCATGAGCGTTTCGTCATCCTCCTCACCTTCCTGTTCCATTTGTTTCTCCAAGCTGGCAACTTCAATACGAAGACGAGCCGCAGCGAGCTGCATGCCATCATACTGCTCTGGCGTGCACATAAAAAAGGAACCGGAACCCGAAGCCGGCACCGATATGTCCGCTTCTTTAGTGTTTGAGGACGGCTCCGACGCAGTTGTTGCACGTGTCATGGAGATTCCAGACACATTAGGAGGCTGTATACTCTTTTCTACGTCTGTGGGGCCACTTGTAAAGGCCTCAGCTTCCTGGGCATTCTCACTGACGTCAGTGCCTTGTTTTGTTAGGCCAAATCGAGCTCGCACTTCCTGCAGCTGCCGCTCAGCAGCCAATACCGCCTCCTCAGCCGCCTTTTGTTGATCAAGAGCCTTTTGCGCCTCCAGCTGCGCAAGGCGAGCCTGTTCCCGTTGCCGTGCAAGCTCAGCCTGACGTATCTCACGCTGACGGCGAAGTTCTTCTTCGGCGGCTTTAGCCTTAGCCGCAGCAGCTTCTTGAGCTTCTGTTTCACATGCCTTCTGGTAACTGCTCCGTAGTTCACTCAGCCTTTCCTCAAGTGTGCTCACTTTATTTGTTGCCGCTTGCACTTGTCTGGCCATAGCAGCCTCTTGCAAGCTTTTCTGACGCAAGATCTCCTTCAGCTCCTCGCGTGCGTTATTTGCCGCTGAAGACACCTCTTCGCAGAGTTGTAATAACTCCTCGCTATGCGAAGTGGCGCTCATTTGATTATAATTCACTTTACTTTCGCTATGCGTAAAGGATGATGGTAAGGAGGTTGGTGGCTTATGCGAAGCCTCACACGAGGCTTCTTCTTCAGCCTCTGCAGACATCTCATGCGCACTACACCAGTGGTTTTCGGTCTCCTCTTCACTTCCCACCGTATTTGATATGTCATTCTCAGTAGAATCCTGCAAATCCCTACTTTCCTGATCATTATCCCCTTCTTCTATGGTGGTAACAGCCCTCCTATTCCAGTTTTTATGCTCTGCACTTGCTTCAGCTGATTTATTTCCTTCGCCCTTTGGAATAGTAGTAGTGGCATTCATCACTGATGCCGATACCTCAGCCTCAAATTCTTTTAACTCTTTCGAAATATCGATATCATCATCATCCTCTATGTCTTCAGCGGCGGACGCGTTTTTTGAGAAGTCATGCTCCGGTGCCTCCGGAAAGTTTGGTTGACCACTGGAAGCTGATAAACCAGTACTGCCATCCTTACTGGCAACATTCTCGTTCATCTTATTGTTATCCTGCTCCTGCTTCAAGGCTTGCTTAAGCTGCCTCATGTGGCGCAGCTGGTCTATGAGACGGTTGAGCTCCTTGCGTGAATTCATAAGTCTCGCCTGAATCTCAGCAACCTCGTCTGGATTGCTGGTATTGAGGAGGCGGCGACGTAGCATTGTAACCTCTACCTTATTCTTGTGATACGCGTTCGACAGGGACTCGTGCAACTCGGAGTCATAGGTATCCGGGGAAGCATTTAGGCTGCTGCCGCGCTGGTCACTCGCCTGCTCATCATCCACGCCATCGGTAGGCCCCTCCTGATGGCGAATCACGCTCTGTTGTTGCGTTTTATCAGTGCTGACAACCTTGCCAATGGAAAACTCTCTTACCACGCGGCCAATCGGTTGAATTGCTTGTTTTAAGTGGGGAACCGAGTCGATGGCATGAGAGAACTTCGTAGCCTCATCGCCCTCCACCTCTTCCGCCGCCTTTTCCACCGCTTCAAACATGCCGGAAACGGATTCGCGGTTGTGTGGATACTGACGGTATCCTTTGTAGTCTTGGACCGTCTTATTAGCCATGGCAGGGACTCCCATGAGGCGTACGGACTCCGTAACGGAAGGCTCCACATCAGCGCTTGGGCGGCGACGAATCAGCAGTTTAGAAGAAGGAATCGGCCTCTTTTCAGCCTGTGCGACGGGGTCGAGGATCAAGATTGCCCTGGGCTTTCCGTTCACTGTCATCTCCAGCTCTGCCAATTCCACGAACTCGGAGAACTCAGCAAAGTACAACAAACAATCACGATCAGAAATCATTTCCGAGTTCCAACCAAAGCGACGGTACACAACATCCACGCGCTCCCACGAAAGGTGGATACTTTCGTAGCGCCTTCGAAGGAAGTCTTCGATAGACCAGTCTAGCAGAAGTTCCGTGTCTTCGGAGCGGTAGATATGCAAACGCTTGCAAGCCGAATAATCAGCCAGGGATCTCCTCAAGATAATGGGATTGATGCAGTTAGTAAGTTCAGTGAGTTTATGGGCTGTAAAAGGAAAGTCTGTAAGCTGTAACAGCGGACGCACGCAGTCATTGATCAACTCTCGACTGTAGCGATTAGTCTGACGAATTTCTTTTCGGTATCGCATCATATTCTTTTCGACACAACGAAGAAGCTCAGAGAAGAAGGGCTGCTGACGAAGAGACGCAAAGCTGTCGGTCTCATCTTCAGTGTCTATACATTCTGCGTCTTGTGAGCAAACAGTGAGCTTATCCTCGCTTCTCGATTTGTTAGCGACGATAGCATCACCATGCGTTTCAAAAGTTCGCTCGCTAAGAGCAATCCCAGCTCTCTCTTCTGGAGTCTCGAGTAGGTTGAGGATATCATCGTCAATTTTGTTCGTGGAAACACGAAGCGCCCCCTTTTTTGTATCAGAGCCCTCGACAAGATGGTGTACTTCGTCGTTGCTGTAGATCTTTGTGACATCAGTTTCCCCATCATCAAGGCTAACGTGGCCCTCTTGAAGCGGTCTGTTACCCCCTTCCAATTCGTTCATTGGGGCTTGAATTATAGTCTTCGCGTTGCTCTGTGCCATGGTATTTTTAAACGAAGGACGCTGGGACTTAGGCCTGATGAAGTCCTTGTGCTGATTCTTAACGTTGCGAAATTGAATCATTTTTTCATAGTTATCCGTTTGGTCATTCCTCTCACATTCTCCTTCTCCAGAATTCGTATCGTAGCTCTTGCGGTGAGTAGTTGATGCCGCCTCCTTAAATTCCTTACCTTCTTTATAAGTCAGCGTCCGTGCCATGGACCCTGAAGAGGATTTAACAGCATGCTGATGTTGCGCTCCACTACGGTTCGAATAATAGGATTGAGTTTTGTGACGATTGGAATCATTATAGTTGGAGGAAAAAGGCTGAGTTTGGTTGGCAACACAGAAAGTAGTACCAATAGAAGCACACGGGCAGCCAAAAAGAGTTTTAAAAGCGACGACTCTTCGGAGCATTGGAGATTTTTGCCAAATTGTTTATGTTTCTATATAAATATGGATAACTGTATGCGTATGCGTTGTAAAGGCAAAATCAAAAATAGTACCCTTGTAAGGATTGCTACCTTCTATTTCTCTATGTATTTATTGCGGCCGCGCAAATAGTTCTACACTATATTGAAGGCGAAAAGTTAAAAATGATTTGAAAAAATGAATGAGTAATAAAATAAGGTGATAATCATTCTTCAAAAAAAAAAGTACATTAATAAAGATAAATGTGTATCACCACGCATCGTTCGTTCTGCTGCTCAGCTCGTCCTCCTATGATGCTTTTACATTCAAAATTCTAGGAAAATATACAGATAATGTATGTCAGCTATAAACATTTAATAAATGGATATAAAAGTAATAAGATTTCATATCCAAGTAAGTTCTGAGGGCAAAGGGAAAAGGTACAGACAGAAAACACAAGATAATATATTTAATTTTTTCATGATAACGCGAAAAAGACTCATTGTGTAACTTGCCATTTTTTGGCGGCACTGCTCTTTTTTACTCGTGCGCAAGAATACTAGCTAACTCTTTATAGTTAATCATGCCAGCTTCATGATCCACCAGTGCAGTAAACATAGCATCAACTTCTTTGGTAGACATTACCTCCCCCTTTGATTCTAAGAGTGCTCGCAGCTCCCCTTCGTCGAGGTATCCTTTCTTTTGTGAATCCAGTGTGCAAAAGGCTCTAAAAATTGTTTCTTCATCTTCTCTAATACAACAAGAAGGTGGGTGCTTAAGTTCCTTCACGATTCCCTTTTCTACTAAAGCCGGTCCACCAAGTATCCCTGTCATCAAGGCCTCCAGAATTACTTCCTCGAGAAGTCTACGACTAACATATCCGCGTATAGAATTATCACCTCGGATAAGCTCGATGATATTTTCTACTTCCTTATCAGTAAGATTTAATCCCATAGCACGTGCAACAAAACCCACTTGTAGCACAGGAAAGTTGTCAGATGGCAATTCATTCGAATTTTGAACAAGAACAGACGATTCCATCGTAATAACACTTTCTATAATATTATTCAATTTTTCCTTGTGCTGCTGTCGACACAATGCCAAAGATTTTGATGTGACATTCAGAGCAGAAGGTATACCCTCTTTAGCTGCTTTGATATCGAACTTCAAAGGAAAACTAACTGATTTGTCTTTAGATTTTCGAGACTTTCTTACTTTTCGGGGCATACTTTACCTATTGTGGTTTACTTGTCAAGTATCTTCAATTTTCCGCGCAGCTCTATCTTATAAGTTTCCTTTGAAAGTAATCAAGCAACGAAGGCAGAAATAAATTAAAGTGGGAAAGCGAAAAAAAGAAAAATATTACCTATATAATTAATACTAAGATTGATTATTTTTATTTGATTATGCTAACTATGATTCAAATATTTTTTCACACTGCAATTTTTCAGTACATCATTTTTTCTTCACTCACTTTGCATAAATTAGCCAGAATTCCAAGATTTTTTGACTCAAAGCTCTGATATAGTAGTGGGAAAAAATATATGATAAAAAAATGAAAAAGTAATGAACAACAATAATAAAGATCAACACATATTGAAACATGTGATAGAATTTAATAATAGGAAAAATCTTGATCTACAAGCATAATTTCTTCTCCATCTTGTATAAATGATCCCTCACGCTTCGCCTTTGTTTGCTCCTTGACGTAGTGAAGAACACTATGCTGAAGCACACCGATGCGCAAAGTCATTTGCTTTATTTCGGTTTGTACTTTGTTGAGTGCCTCCTTTACTTTCATCAAAGGAGTTGTATCAGATATTTTTGCCTCTCGATCTTCGATATTTCTCTTCGTTTGATCTAGCAATTCACTGACTTGATTGAGCTCTACAGTAAGTTGTTGGACACTTTGGCCTACTAGATTAGCAGCGTCACGGGAGGCGTTTAAGTCACGAAGCCTAACACGATACTCTTCAACCTGTTCAGAAAACTGCTGAGCAAGAGTTTGCTCTCTCTTTTGAATTCTATCCCTCGACTTATCCATATCCTCCCTCATCCGTTCAAGCATTTGTTTGGTATCGGGATACATTTTTTCTACTGCCTTCATAAGAATTGTAGCACTTTCAATACGCGAACGCCAGTTGTCAAACACCTCATTTTCTATCTGCAATAAAGGTGCGACACGCTCCAACTCCAAATTCCATTCCTCCGCATTAATAGAGGAAGCTACAGGAACATTTATAGCCTCCTTTTCATCTTTTTGTTCAGCAGCTCTGACAAAAGTCTCGTCTTCATCATCACTGTCTATAACTACATTGTCCTCGACTTCCACTGTATCGTTAACAACATCATCTCCATTAGGAAGATCGGCATGCTCGTCGTATTTTTCGATTCGAGAGTAATCAATCGGTCGAAAGGAAAAACCCTTCTTTGCCAATACCTGATCAAGTAGAACAGATAAAATAATTAATACACCCTCCCCACTTCCTTGCTTAATTCGATTTGGAGCAATGCTAGGAATGGGTAGGTTCATGGAGCGCAATTGAGAAAGAATAGTTGTAGCTGTTGCGTTGGGATCATCAAATTGGCCTGCTGCTGCGAACTCGTGACCACACATGTTTATTAGCCAAGCACATAATGAGGTAAAATAGTAAAACTGCATATTGGGGTTATCAAGTGTGGAAGGCCCAGCAAAATAAAACTTATCGAGTGGTTTAAAGGGAGGCTTAACTAGAGTGCAAAATTCAGTTTCATAGTCAAGGAGCTTAAGTTTATCGATGATATTTTCCATCGTACTATCATCGACGACCACTCCCTGCTGAGCATCATTTGGGGCATTTCCTTCCTCTGGCATCCTTTCCTTGACTTATGGAATGCTGTTAATAAAATACAAGGCTAACAAAAATATTAGGAAACAATAATTCATCTATTTTCATATGCATACAAATTAGGTATATATTCATTGTAATTAGAAGTTAAAACTAGTAACATATATATATATATATATATATATATATATTATATTATATATATATATATTTATATATTATATATATATATATTTCAGTCAATTTGTAACACCATAAAGCACGAAAAACGCAATTCACAGCTTACATAAAAATATTACATAAAATATGTAAATATATACATTGACGTCAAAAATATAACGGGATAAACCAATTTTGACTTTTTTTTTCCCATACATGAAACATAAATTATTCGCTGCTTACAAACTTCGAGAAAAATAATTTATAGTTTTCGACATATTTCTGTTGAATAGCACCAGCATTGTCTGAATTTGAAGCTTGAGATGATACGAGAGTCCAGCCCCCTTCTTGCTCCAATACGTCCAGAAGGACGACGATAAAGTGGGACACACCCTCAGAGTCGCAAAGCTGTCCATCTAATTTCAGGTGCCAGTGATCTGGGTTAGACAAGTATTGAAATTTTGGAGCTTCAGATCGACAGTTACGAGTCGATGTCGTCGAAGTTGGAAGGAGTTCATTAAGACGTTCGATAGTCGTTTCCTTGATGGGTCCAATGATGTCCACGACGGGGCAGTTAAAGGAAAGGTTAATAACAAGAGTGTTCGACATGATTGAAATGTAAATGTGCTTTTTTTCTTTTAGTAAATAACGAAATCTATTATCCAAAAAAAAAAAAGGCAATCGGAAAAAAAGCAAAAAATACCTATTTGTGAAAATTCATATGGGTCATTAATATATATATATATATATATATATATATATATATATATATATATAGACAG